TGGCAGATAAAACTATGTTAGACAACTTCCACGTACATAAGTGAATAACTTTTATTTTATTTTTAAACTTATAAGTCAAAGTTATAAGTTTTAGGGTTCTTAAGGTAAAAAGGTGAAAACAGAAGATGAAACATAGTATTATGCAGTCGGAGACATACACATACATGTACTTAGCAAGACTCGCAGTATAAAACTTGTTTGTAACCTTTTTAATTTGCTTTTTACGCAGTCGGGTTTTTTTATTTTCAAAATTATTTTTTATGTACAACTTTTTAATTTCGGTCAGGTAGACATTTTGTTTTTTTTTTAACAATTTCTTGTCCTAACATACATACAAGTCAAAAACATAACTCTCGTTTGGGATTTGCCGCAGTCGGGTCATTCCAAATCAATATTAAGTACAAATATCTCGACGATGAACGACTTTAAAAAATTATGTTTTTTTGAACTGTAAGAGATAAAAGCTTGAAAACAAGAAATAAGATTTTTTTTTAATGTTTCATAAAAACGTTAAACATTTTGAATATTTACTTCAGGACCAGGGCCTCTGGGTATGCAGCCGTACATGTTAGACATTATAAAAATATTTTTAAGAATCCCTCGCACTTTAATCGTTTTTTTTTAATATTTTGAATCGTTTAATTGAATTCTTTTTTAATAATTTTTTTAATAACCAAGCACGATTAAATAATAGTCAATGTGAGGCAAAATTCCTTTATTTTATTCTTAATTTTATTTTTACAAGTAAGATTTTTATATTTTTTATATTTACAATATTATGTGACTAACAACATTTAACTTTGTATTATAAACCATAAACCTATCATTTTTAATAACTGTTCAAATGCTTCATTCTTAGAAAATATTTAATAGGGAATATGCTTAATTGTTTTTCTGTCATCGTTATAAAATTGTAAAAAAAAACTTTTTTTAATATCATACCGTTACGAATAATTTCAACGCTCGCCATTTCGCGCGCTCGGCGTGACGTCACAGTATGATAGAGAAATGACGATTCATATGTAGCGACAAAATCGCTAATCGCTTTGTTATGATTTACTGTGACGTCATATTCGGTCTAACCAATGGCGTTGCGTTTTAAATACTTTGAATTTCCCACCCGTTTTTGAACTTTTCAATAGTTATTTTCTGAACCAAAAAGAGATTACATTAAAAAATATTAATATAGGCTTAATTCAAAAGCAATAAAGATTACAAAAAAAATATTTCACCTTTATTTAAATCACACACATATTTCCTATTAGCGAGAGTGTAAATAGACGAACTTTTTTAAATACTTTAAACTGTAGCAAAGTAACAAAAATGTATGTTTTATTTAAACTACTTTTCGATCATTTATTTTGTTTGTTAAAAAAAGTTTTATTTAAAATGTCAAATATTCAAATCTGTTAAAGATAGAACTTATTAGATGCTATACTGTGTAAAGCAATCGTTAAATATGTATAGATACACGTTTTTCCTTAGGGAACGTGAAAATACCAAATGTAAATATATCATATAAATTTTAGTTTATGTATCATTTCATAAATGTATGATTAATAAATAATAGGTTTTCCAGAATTTAATCGATTATAGCATAAATAATTACAAAGATCCTATGTTTTTTCTACTCCTTTTCCATTATGTAAGCCCATAAATCTTTAAAAAATCACTATTAACACTATTATATAATAAAATATAAATGACAAAATAAGGACCAAAATAGCAAAAATAAATACGTAATGTAATAAACATATATTTTTTTATTTATAACAAAAAGTAAAAACTACTCATACTATTATCGTAACGTTCTCTGGTTTATATAAAGCATTTACTGTGGAACAATAAAAAAAAGAAAAATATTGACTCAAAATTGTAAAAAAATACTTATTTATATTCGAAATGATTTTTAATTATTATTTTTTTGAGACCAGGTTAATTTCCTTGGGGCATGACCATAAAAAATATGTAAAAATTCAAACTCGCAGACATCGCATAATATGCATGCAAAAATATAGAACTAAATAGAGTAATCTTCTTAATAATTAAATATTCAGTTATATTGCACCTAATTGAACTAATTATTTATTACAAAAGCCTAATTTAAAATTTAAACGAGATGCCTTAAAAGTAAATATTTTTATATAAAAATATTTACTTTTCACTTTTAAATCTTAACGAGATTTGACTAATATTTTTTTATTAGTGTTGTAGCGAATTTCAGTCGATTACTATTTAACAAAAACACAATAATATCGATTATTATGAAATAAATGAGCAATATCGATTTTAAATCTAAATAAAATCTGATAGGTAAACATCGATTTAAATCAAATCTATTTAAATCAAAAAAGAAAAATTATATTTACTTACTTACTAAATCTATTTAAAAACTAATTTGCACTTAAAATAAAAGCTACGTTTGTCCGTATTTATCACATGCATACATAATTCGTATAATATAGAAAAGCAACGATATATGTAGGGTAACAACATACACTTTATTTTGACTTTATAGTAAAAATAATATTTTAAATAAAACTATCTTATAGGATTTTTTCGCGGTTTTAGTTTGATATTTGGTTCGCGACGTTTCAAATGCTTTACAGGAATCATGGTCACAAATAATCCGAAAAAATAGTTTTATTTAAAGTTTCAAATATTCGAGTAAATCTGAGAAAGCATCAAATAATAATATTGTTTTTATTAATATAATTCATATTAATATTGTTTTTATTAATAAATTCTATTTGTCTTCTTAGTGTACTACACTAGTACTCGTAACTAGCTTAATATTCGTCCAACGTTGCTTAAATCTTATTGTAAACAAAAAATGTAATATAGTCTAAGATTCGAAGTAAGTTCGTCCTCGCCCATCTGCTTACCGTTTGAAATGTATTTAACAAAATATAAAAATATATTAAAAATTAGCGTAACTGACCCTCGATTCGCTCGGGTTCGTCCCTAATGAAAAACAAAAACAAATCTATCCCGTGGGAATCGTAAATTTTTCCAGGATAAAGAGTAACCTATGTTCTATTCCAGACTATAATCTATATCTGTGCAAATTTCACCCAGAGCTGTTCAGAGCCGTTCTGGCGTGTTTGAGTAACAAACATCTATCCAAACTTTCGCATTTATAATATTAATATTGGGATGAGGATATTTTACACAATTTTTTTTATATTTTAAATAAGCACAATAAACAGTACTCATCATCTAGTAACCAGATAGGTGAATGTCGTTCATACTTCGGATCTTAGACTAATTTCAATGGTATATTTTATTTACATTTGACATATCGACGGCGAAGTCAATCGTTTCCTTTTTATTGTATAACATGCATTCTCAAAACAATAGAGAAATATAGTATTCACTAAAATAACAATAACTAATAAGTTTTCGAAATATTTTATAAAAAATTCAAGATCATGTTCTAATTCGGAATCATATTAATATATTCAATTTATTTTATTCAAATATACGATCGCCATTCGCCATATTATTATTTTATCATTTAAGAAACTAAAAGAAAAAATGTTAAAAAGTGAGGATTTCTAGTGTTTTTAATCTATCTCAAATGCAATATATTTAACGATCTATTAACTGACTAAAATATAAAACTAACTAACTGTATTAATAAAATATATTCTACATATTATTATTAACAATATTAAAAAGCCATAATATGTTCTAGATTTTACGACAAAATTGAACAATAATGTATACTCTATAAAGCGTACAGTCTTACATATTATGAAAAAAAAAACAAATAATATATTATATAATATTTTATCTGTATATGTATGTATGTATTCAGCCCTTTTTAACATCCCACTGCTAGGCACGGGCCTCCCTTCAATACGAAGGGGATCAGGCCATAGTCCACCACGCTGGCCAAGTGCAGAGTTGGCGGACTTCACATGTCTTGTGAAAATTTGCTAGGTTCTCTCAGACATGCAGGTTTCCTCACGATGTTTTTCTTTACCGTTAAGACAATTAATAATCATATTAGAAATGATTCCCACATGAAAATCTCAGAGATGCTAGACCCGGAATTTGAACCAGCTTTATTCGGTTTTCCAAGCGAGCGCGTTACCACTGGGCTACCACTGACTTTATATGCTGAATCCTATTTGATTATGTTGAAGAAAAATAGGGCATTTTAATATGTTCTCTTGACTGATTTCGGTCACGGCGGCCAATCTTATTGGAATCAACTACAGGAGATGTTATAATGCAGCGAGTGAGATAGAGAGAGAGAGACACAACGTGCACTCTCTGTCCCTTTCACTCTCATACTCCAGTGGGACGATACGAGACACGACCAGTAAGAGTTAAGGCGCAAGACCGATGCGATATGTAAGAGCCGAAGCACGATGGTGAAATACCGCCAACTTCACAATTCCGGGAACTTGATACTGAGATAATGTTACTGAGAACTTCTTGACAGAAATACTCGATACCTGAACTTGGCTCGACCCGGAACTTGAAACTAGGACCTTGGGATGTGCTGACATGCTAGCTACTACACCACCAAGTGAGTAAATATAATCACATAATATATTTTCGTTATTACGTTACTATATTATGTACGTAAAGTTTTACAAAATTCACTAATGTTTAAACATTTACTTAGTAATTTTTAAAAACACCTGCGTGGAATAACGTTGTAAATTTTAAATCAAAATTTATTTGAATGGCAAATAATTTGTATCAGAGTTCAGAATAAGTTTTGACCAAAACCTATAACAGTAGCTTAAAAATATTATAATAATATAATAGCTCATACATTTTTCAATAACTATACATACATGCTTATACATTTTAATAAATAACAAACTAACAAAACGTTAGCTGCTATAGTTTACGTCACAAGCTCTATAACCATGATAGCAGCTTCAATTCGCACCAAAGTCATTTATACAATAACAGTCAATTGTTACGCTAATAGCAACTCAATGATAATAGCTATAAAGCATAATTTTGCGTCTTAATCATTCTGTCCGTAATCTTAGAGGGTCTAAAAATGGCAAGTCACTTGCTCCATCGCACTCGACTTGGTGGAATAATTTCAATGGCACTTCTTTCACATTATTCATAATTTTCACAGGTTTTTGGTTGGGTTTAGGAAACATCACTACAGGCACTAGTTGTTTTTTACCAATCGTCTCTATAGATTGGTTTTCCGCCGCTTCTAGTGCGGTTTCGACGTCTATCAACGCGTGGTTACGGCATTGGAGTAATGCTGCTAACTGAAAATAAAAGATAATTTATAGGTATATTTTTTATTCATAAAATTATATATAGACAGCATTAAATTTGGTAAATTTTATTACTTCATATAACAAGGCTACTTCCATTTGGCCTTCGTTACTCCACAACATAGTTTATTTTTGTGCTAAATTTCATCCAAATCCGTCCAGCGGTTTCAGCGTGAGAAGAATAGTTTTGACATCCAATATGGTAACATTACTGACGTCAACATCAAGTCCTCACTTGCGTCAACATTTTTAATTTAACACAATCATTCTGACATTCATCAACATCAAGCTATATCGTCGCATTAAAATATGACGCGTCACATCGTGTGACATGACGTCATCGTCAACCTCTAGCTATGACGTAATGTCAAAATATATTACACGTCATACAACGTGACGTCATCGTTAACTTCTTAACGTCTTAATATGATATCTCATTCCACATGACGTCTTCGTCATCTTCGTGCTTTATCCACACACACATACACATACACACACAATTTCACGTTATACCCTCAGCAGAGAGAACAATGTCAAACACTACGATCTCTATCTAACCCTTTTGCTTCTACCATTCTTGGCTTGGCCATTCATCGCTTCACCTGCGCATTACGTCAAAATATGACGTGAGCGTGACGTCATCGTCACCACGTGACGTGACGCCAACGTCACCACGCACCTGCAGTATCTCCTGCAGGGGCGCGCGCGCGGCGGGCGGCGGGCGCGGCAGCGCGGCGCGCAGCGCGGCGGCGGCGGGCGGCAGGCGCGCGCGCAGCAGCGCCAGCGCCGCCAGCGAGCGCGCCACGTCGCCGCCCTCCGCCACGCCCTCCACCACGTCCGACGACGACGTGGACTGAGAGTCCGTCGTCACCGAGTACGTGTGACTCCGCGTCGGAGTCTCTATGCTGGGTAATCATACATAATTATTAGTGTATTAGCAGAATCCGTGGCTTCGCTCGCGCTAAAACTACAAAAAAAAATCTCTAAAAAAGGTAGTTTCATACAAACTTTCATCCCCCGTTTTACCCCCTTATAGGGAGAATTTCGAAAAATGCTAAAACACGTATTTATTTAATTGTATTGAGGAGCATTAATACCAAGTTTCAATTAATTCTGATCATATATTTTTTTCGATTGTATTATAACATGACGTAAGACTGAAATAATCTCCTGCGATTATAAATAGCCTTTGTCACTCTCCAGCTCTCCAACTACCTCCACACAAAAAGTCACGCCAATCTGCCACTCCGTTTCGGCGGGAAAGAAGGACAAACAAACAAACACACTTTCACATTAATATTAAGTATGTAAGTATGGATTACACCTCCTACAACTTTCTGTTTGCCTGGTAGAAAATATTGTTATATCGCTCATCTATGTTTGTATCGTAGAACATATTATTTACTATTCTATTGCACCTTCCTACAACAATTTCTCTTTCTAGTATAGAATTGAACTTTTTAATCTACCTCAACTCCTATTATTTTATTTTCCTGGTAGAAAATACACACGCCCTAAAGATCCTTTACAAGTAGCGTGTAATCGGATTTAAGTTTCACAGCTCACAGCTGATTTTCATTGTCTTGTAGTTAATTTAAATTGTCCTTTACACTCGTAATAAGTATAAATAAACTATTAAAATACTTAAAACGAGTCATAATGCCATTCTAAGCGCAATATGCACCCTAAAAACATATTGAGGAAACCTGTATATTTGAGAGAACCTAACTTTTACGAACCTAACCTTTTTTTAAATTTGGAAAATTTGTTAAATTTGCCAACATTTGGCCAACATGGCGGACTATGGCCTGATCCCCTAACAATAAAGATAGCTAAACGAGAGATAGCATTTAACTTTCCTTTACGAAGTCGGTTGATAAAATCAATATATCCAAACTCACATCTGCTCGATAATTTGTGGTGGCGGTGGTTTAGGGTATAGATGTGGACATCGTAGGTGCAATGCTAAAGCACACACGTGTCCCACACTCACTGAAGAAGGCCGCATCAGGACTGAGAGTGCATTGCCCGTGTCTGAGTCTAGTACTGGAAAATATTTAATTTGTTTTTTATAATACTTTCTTAGATTTACGAGAATATTTGACATTTTAAATAAAACTATCTTTTCGGTTTATTTCGCGGATTTACTTTGATTTTTGGTTACCGACACTTCGAACGCTTTACAGCAATCATTGTATACAGCATTTAGGTATATATGTTTGTATGTATATGTGTATAAATATATTTATTTTCGTATAATTATAATATTTAGTTGATATATTTTAATATTAAGTTAATACCCTATAATGCTGTACTGTACCTATACCATACTAAATTAACTCACTTCTGAAGGATTTCTGAAAGAAATCTCTTAAAGAGATAACTTATTCTTTGTCGACATTCTGTTACTTTATTTTGTATAACATATATTTTATGGTACATAAGTTAATAAATAAAACTAATAATTCTTACATATATTGTTATACTACAATTGTTATTTACATAAATATAGTTTATGTATGTTACTTACATACAGTCCTAATAGATAGTAGCATGGAAATTATAACGTAATGTACGTTTGGCAACATCGGTCCGTCCGAGAATATGAAGCCCCATAGATTTGGTATTTCCGAACGGGGGAATTCCCGGCCGAAGAGCAATCGGAGCCAGCGGCTGAAATTGTTACATATTGCTATTATTTAAATAAAAATATACCCTATTGAAATAGAATTTTAAAAGAATTTTAGAAGCGTCAATTTTATATTTTAATTAAATGTCAGTATGTAAGTCCGTGAGGAATCTAATATGACGCGGAAGGCAGTTCTGCTGAGCAGAACGGTAAGAAACCCAACAATATTGCATTACAAAATTATGTTCTTATCCTACGTGAGAATGAAGTAATCCATCACATTTACATCAGCAAAATATTCCGTAAATATATATATATATATATATATATATATATATATATGTGTGTGTGTGTGTGTGTGTGTGTGTGTGTGTGTGTGTTTAAATAAAACACAATATAAAACTTACATGCCAAACAATTCCATAGAAATATTGCAGTCAGCCAAATGCGACGCCAGCTCCGGGTCGTACGCGACTAGATAATCCTCTCTTACTCTATCCAAATATCTTACTACTTCATTTTGATTCTAAAACAACATTATACTGTATAGAGTAACAACTATATCGATATATTATAATATTGTATAAGCTATAAATAAATACTATATAGCTTTATAAAGCTTTTATCCCGGAAACCATCCCTTAAGGAGAGGAAAATGGGGATGAAAGTTTGTATGGGGAAGCAACCTAGGGACGAACCCGAGCGAAGCGAGGGTGAGTCGCTCATACAATATTATATAAAGTAGTAGCGTCATATTAGTATGTATATAATAGTAATAACTAATTCAGGTCTCTTAGTACGGCAACAGAGGCTACCATATCTTTTGTGTCGACACAGTATAAGTTAAACTCAGTTTAACTAAGATTATTCCGTATGATAATATATGTATGTTTGTTTTCGTATATTTTTAAGTGTTTTATGTGTTTTATTGTTCAATAAATTATTATTATATGTTATAACTTACATGAACAGATTTCGACGTGGGCAATCTTCCACACGACGATGGTATGACGTCACCCGTCGAATAAAACTTCTCCAAGCCCTTCATTATGGCACTGAATAGCATACTGAAAAAAAAAATTTAAAGTACAAAATTCTACGCATAATAAAAAAATGTAAATTGAAGAGTTATATTTTAGTTTTTATATTATATTTTTTTATGTGTTATAATAGAGGTATATACTTAAATCATTTTTTTTACACAAAAATATTTTTTTTAATTTTTTTTACTTTTTGACACATCATTCAAGGCATGCATCTTAATTTTATATTGAATAATACAAACATTGTATTTAATATTGTTTGATACGTTTTATTTCAATTCTATTTTCTTGTTAATGGTTTCAAAGCGTGCTTGTTTTATTTGAATAAGCTTTTAAACTTAATTCTTACTTCTAATTGTCTTGATAATAGATCCAGATATAGAATAGACTCTTCTGAAACTACTTGTAAAACTTTCAATTTGAGCTCACTTCATTCGATTTGTTGAGTTACATGACAAAATTATATTTTACTAGCGGCGGCGAAAAACAATAACAAATATATCCCACGAGAGCCATACATTTTTCCGGGATCAAAAGTAGCTTATGTTATACTATATGTATGATGTATGAGCTATATTATTGTAAAGTTTCATTAAAATCCATTTAGTAGTTTTTGCCTGAAAGAGTAACAAACATCCATACATCTATACATCCAGACACTACTACATCCTCACAAACTTTCACATTTATAATTTTAATATGAATTACATTTAGCCAAAAGAGCATTTTCTTTAATCTTTTAAAACTATATTTTTTATGTATATTTGGCATAAATCATAACAGAAAATATAAATGAAAAAAAATATTCAATTATAATACTTACTAACTGTCGTGTTCTAAGTATTCATCTTGTAGATAATAACGTAAAGTGTCACTGAAAAATATAATAATCAAAAACATTTTTATTACATATTCATAAAGAATCTATTACTATATTTATGATATATGTAAAGTTAAGTAAAGCAGACACTTGAAATGAAACCTATAATTATCTTTTCGGATTATTTTAATTTTTGTTTTTTTTTGTTTTACATCGAAACGTCAGGGACCAAAAATCAAAATAAATCTGGGAAATAATTCAAAAATATAGTTTTATTTAAAATGTCAAATATTCGCGTAAATATAAGAAAGTATTAAATCAGACACATTGTAAAAACAAGGTAATTTTCAATACTTTTCTAGTCGTTTACACAAATAACATAATCTTATTACCAGCTTAGAAATAACACGTGTAAATAAAACTACTTTGTTTCTTAGCTTATGCTGAGTCTACATTAAGATGTACATTTTAATGAAAAAGATTATATTTACTATACATTTAAATAAAAAAAATGTTTTTTTTAATTACATAATTATAAATAATATCGCCAAAGATGTAAAACGGCACATGTGTGCAAAAACATAAAAAATGCTATTTTATTATATTAAAACAATACTGTGTGTTCCAGTTAATAGACAAAACTAAGTATTCAGTATTCAGAGTTGTCTGATGTCCCGCTTTTTTACAGATTTCAAAATAAGAGATCACAAATATTTTTTCCTTTTTTGCTTATGTTAAGCAATTGTTGTCAATTGCGAACATGAACATAGGGTCATTATATATATATATATATATATATATATATATATATATATATATATATATGAATTCATTAAAAAAATCATGGAAATAGTTCCATGATTTTTTAATGCATATGTGTGCAATATGAATAGATGTGTAAAGGGGTCTCCCCTAGTATTAATAAAAAAAATTCAAGTTAAGTCAAATGTTCTGTTTAGCAGTCATCTTAAGGCCGTCCCGTGTATTGAAATATACCATTTATTTTCAAATTAAATTGAAAAAAAAATATCTTAGAGAATTGTTGCCATAATTTAAAAAAATGTAAGTAAATTATGATCTAAGCTTTTTTCAGCATTCAGGAAAATGCATCTAACAACTTTACCGAGACAGAAGCAAAACATTTAATATGAATAACGAAACACAAGAAAAGGAAAACATATGCAAGGAAGACAGAATAGAAGAAGACAAAAAAAAAGAAGAACAGTAACTCACCTCAAATAATACGGTCTACATTTCCTATCTGTATACAACTCGTACAGCAACGGCGCTAGTATCTCGTGCATTCCCTGCCTGTACCCCGGACTGGGGTGAGAGCGCGCCCAAAAGAACAATACTCGTACCTATAAATTATGATTCCTTCATATATTTACATTTATGTTATTTTTGTGTATTTGTCCACAAAACAAACGACAATCGAACTTCTATAAAATAATAATAAATTAAAATAGTAATACATATAATTACTTTTATTGGGTACTTTTTTGATGATTTATTTACTTTTTTCTAGATGCAGACAGCCTGCATATTGCAATACTGGCGACTGATTTTATGAGTTTATCTTTGTTATTTCCTAACGCTGTAACGCCTAAACAGATTTTAGTGAAATTTAAAATGGAGATAGATAGAGCTAGATAACATTTAGACTATTTTTATCAACGTATGTATAGGTCTCACAATCGTTTATGAGCGCTCAGTGAAAAGAGTGGAGATTTTTGCGCAGGTGTACTCTCGCGCACATAATTCCCTAGACACAAAATAGCGAACATGCATGTGATTTAAATTTGCTTCATTTTTTTATAATAATTTTCGAATAGGTATTATTACATTAATACATAATATAAATTCATGTTAATTACATATAAATTCATGTGACTCAGTTTTAATTAATTTATCAACGTCATACACCATTTTTCTTGCCTGCCGAGTTGAAACCTTGGTTTTCGGCGTCTTATTAATTAAAAAAAAATACATATATTTATTATATATCATTAAGTAATGAAAACGTTTGCTAAGGTAATTGCGCGCGCTACTGTACTAAAAGGTAAGCGGAACATGCGTGCGGTGCGGGGGAGCGACGGGAACCGATCGGGCTAATAGCGCACGCCTCCCCAGTCTCCCGTCGCACGTCATGCGTCCCGCCAAATAAGATCCAAAAATTGACTTCTGCGCATTCAAGGTCAGCGCTCATACACCATTGCGATACTTATACACGAGCAGAACTATGAAAAAAAGTTATATCAAGTAAAATTCTACAAATCACAATTCACATACCATTAAATCTTGAACACTCTGCTCTCTAAAGTAGGCTTCATCGGGGAATGTTCTCACTACATCTTGCAAAATCAACGCCTTCAATTCGTTATCACAGAAATGTTGCTTCCAAGCACTCTATAATTAAAAATGAAAAAATATATAAATATATATCAGATATAAAGATACAAATATAAAAAAATATATTTAAAAACGTAAATTCAATGACTTTAATGTTTACAACAAATATTTTAATAATATTTTGTTATTATCTATATTATATAATGTTTTGACTTCGGTCATAAATTTTTATTTTTGTGCAAATATTTGACACTTTTCCATAATATTTTTAATATCTAGTAATAGTAAGGATGATGCTAAGTGAATTTAAAAAAAAAATCCACTAGCCTCCTAAACGTGAAATAATTACTTTTAAATGTTGTTAAAATCGTTGTTTTAGATTTTTTTTTCTATTCATAATATATACAAACTGCAAATAGTTTTTATATAGACAGTTGGCCTTCAAATTTTTATGTAAATACGATCCAATAACAGAATAGTCTATTATTATATTACTAATTTATGGAAGCCATTGTTATATATAAAACTAGTAACATTTTAATTTTTTGAGTGCAACCCTAATTCCTTTTCTAGAATAAACGTAGCCTAAGTTACTCCTTATAACAACAGCTTCTGCCTGTGAAGATATTGTCAAAATCAGTCCAGTCGTTTTGGAGATTAGTCAGAACAAAGAGACACACAGAAAAAAATTGAGTTTTTCTTATAAATACTGTATGTGTATATCATATCATATGCATTTAGTAAAAAGCTGTTATTTTGACATTACAAACAGACACTTCAATCTTATTTATCTATATAGATGTATATAGATACGTTTTATTTATAATTCGAATTTGGCATTTAATAAAGCTCAGAAGTCAACTTAATGTCAACAGCAATTAATAATTTTCGCAGCATAAATTTGTTTATTTTTCCTTCTTTTTGCATGGCATTGCCCGCGACACCGCCCGTTTTCAGATGACCAAAACCAAATTCTCAGATTTTACATATTAGTATACTCTTACATTGCAGTTTTTGTATTTTTCTCAGAAATTAAACATTTTCCTCCGGTAAAAAGTTTCCTATATGTTGATCCGGATAGCCAGCTATCAGCTATCATCATACTAAATTTCATCAAAATCCCTCCAGTGGTTTTTCTGTGATGCGGTAACAGACAGACAGACCAAAAATTCTAAAAATTATAGATTCGGCCTCTGTATCGATAATAATGTTTATTTCAATAAGATGTTCCAAAAAATATTTAATGTACAGATTCGGCTTAGTTACAATTTTATTATATGTGTAGATGTTGTATTAAGGTTAACATATGATGGTTGTCAGATATAGACATAACTTCGACACAGCTCAACACTATTTGTCAATTCAATTAAATTTTTCTCTTATTAATGGCTTCAAAGCGTGTCAACTGAGCATAGATTACTTTGCTAATGTCACATAGGATGGAGAAGACACGAAGGAGATTGAACAGTGTTTGCCATAAAATTTGTTATTTTTTGACAACCCTGACAGCATTTCCGTTAAAATCAAATATGATCACCTATTGTATGATTTTTAATCTGTGCTAGTATGCATAAAAACTTTTACTTTCTATTTCCAAATTAGATTAGGTCCCAATTCTGATCATAGTATACTGTAACAATTTTACCTCGTCATTCTGAGATAATGGATCATCTCCAATAACAGCACGAGGATCCATAGACAATTTCTTTTGTAAATCATCATAGAAATTACGATGGCCTCTTATGCTGTAAGAAGAAAATATATATTTTATAAAATAAGCTTATTTGCATAATTTTACATAAATAAAATTACATTTAGTAAAGCAAAATACATAGGTTTCTTTTCAATTTAAATTATTTTTATTTTTTTTAACACTTTTTGATGACTAGTAAATCAAAAACAAAACAAAAGGTTTTTACGAGATGGGGTATGAGAAACTTAAATTAATATTGGAAAATGACAAAAATATTTTAAGAACCATTGCTGAGGTTTCCGATTAATGTTTTCATTTAATAAATAAATGAATCACAATATGTTTTAAAAATTATTCAATATACAAATACAATTCCAAAATTAAAATATTACCTCATCAAAATATCTCCAGATGGTGGTGGAATAGCATTAAGTAAAACAGCCCATGCTAAGCTCCTTGGACGAAATAATTTTTGTTCTTCTGCTGCTTTCTTCAAATTTTCCATACTCCATGTTGGAAATTGTAGGCTTGTAAAAGAAATATAACAATAATTAAACATTTTATATTGTGTGTAAATGAAGGTTGATGCTTATAGAATGAATAGCATCTAGTGGTTTTACTGATACATGATCATTGTAATAAGACACTGTAACATCTTTTTATCATTAAATAACTTGCTTTTGTTTGTGGCTTTGTTTATTTATTTTATATTTTTAATATATCCATTAAATATCAATCTATATTTCTGTTAGCTTCTAATGACTTAGCCTCGAGTATAGCTGCTGAAGCAAATACAATAAAAAAATAAACAAAAGTAAATACAATATAAATCATATAAAATATTCAACATATAACATTTCAATACAAAATAACATTGATATTGCTCAGTACTTAAAATTCTGCAATTGAATCCTAAGAAATTAAAGGTATATTTCAAAGTATTGTACTATATGTTAATAATTAAGACACAAAGAACTGGCTGCCCTTGCTTTTATTCACAATATTTTAAGTGATATTAACAATAAAAACATTCCAAATAAAATTGTTCAGCATATTTTATTAAAAAAAATTTTTCTATGTACTTACAACTGTGTAATATAAAGCATGTTTTTTATTCTTTAAAGAGTTCAATGAACTTGTTGCATACATTATTACCTTAAATAGCCACTTTATAGGTTAGATTTGAAGAACTGAGAATGTTTATTTACGAACATTTCTTATCTCTTGTCATATTATTGATTTTAGTACAATTATTAGATAACTAAATATGGTCAGTTTATTTTATGTTGAACTAAATACTTGCACTAGCATACATGAAACATTTTCTTGTATTTTAAATAATATGTATGAATATTTATGAAATCAACTATAATATAAAATGAGCAGTTAAACAGTTCAAGTAACAAAGTATTTAATATAAAGTTATTTATTCCATTACCGTGAAGTTTCCTGAGAAAATAAATAATAGGTTAAAATTTAAATGAAAAAGATATCTTTTACTTACTCATAGTCGTTGGCCTCGATAGAAGGTTTCGAAGGCGAACTTGGTGACCCATTTACATTACTTTGTTCCTTCGAAAAACATTAAATTTTAATCCTTATATGACTCACAACCAATAACAAAAAAATAAATAAAAAATATTTACCATATTTTGATAATATTAGATTAAAATCATTGTTTTATTATATCACATGATAAATACACCTATAAGCATCTGTAAACTTAACTAATCTACCAAAATTTCATTTAAATAATAATATAAAACAGATGTTTTGGACTTTTTAAAATATTTTACCAACACAGCTGAATATGACAAATAATGACAATTATACATTGACAGCTATTGTAAAAGACACATAGGTACAATAAAAGAATCGAAATCTTCTCGATTAAATCAAATCTTTTATAACAATTATATTATAATATCGGTTAGTATGTATAGATTTCTCAGAGGTTTGATATTTTGCCGCATTAAAAAGTATCCTATATGTTCATTCGGATTAGCAGTTATCATCCTATCAAATTTCGTCAAAATCAGTCCAGTGTCCAGTGGTTTTCTCGCGATAAGTTCCCAGACAGACAAAAATTCAAAAAACTATAGAGTGGCCTCTGTAACGATAATAATGAGTATGTCAATAAGATTTTATAAAAAATATTTAATGTACATATTGGACTCAGAATTTATTATGATATGTAACTAAAGATAATAGATTTATAAGTAAAAAGAAATATTTTTATTTAAGTATCATAATTATCCAATAAATTTCATTGTAAGTAAGTTAATTTTGTGTTGTTTATTACAATAAGCAAGACAAGATAATATCTTATTAAGATGATCCTTTCCTCACGCAACAACGAGTGTTTCTTTGTATCTTTTTTTTTTACTTTTCAACAGAGGCACTGGCAAAGGCTTTAATCTTTAATAAAAAGTTACATAAGGTCACCAGTAAAGTTATTAACATTTATTTACGATATCCAATAGAAATTTACAGATATCGATATTTAAGGTCGATAAGGTATAAACAAAAAAAATATTTGTTTCTCATAATGACTACTTTATTCATAGCTGTTTTAATAGATTGATAGACTTGGTTACTTTTAAGTATTCGAAAAATAAAAGTTTAGCTTAAAATGTTTAAGATATCTTAAACAATTTAAGCTAAATTTTTAATTTTCGGGAAAATAATATCGATATATAACATAATCGAGTTTACAACATGTAATTTGTTGAATTGTGTTAGGTAACGAAAATACTCTGTGGATTTGTATAGAATAATGGCTATGTCTTTCTCTTTTTAGTTAACGAACGCGTTTGAGCATTTTTGCGTATTTTTCAAGTCCGAGATAAATTTTGTTGCATAAAACTATAATATTTTTTTCAGAGTGAATCAAATGTGTTTCAGTTGTCATGTTTTTATTGAATGAAGTCGAAATGGCGCGTATTGTTACTGTTGTTTTGTTAAGCGGAGTGAGATCGCAAGCGCTGGCTTTCCGACTACGATGACCGTAAGCAATAGCAAATATGATTGCCAATCTGCCGCTGCTTTTCGCTAACGGGAATCCGACTGCTTTGTCGAAGATTACCGCCATTGAATTGGAGAAGTTCATAACATTCATGGTGACATGTTCCTGGGGACATGATACGGCGAAAGATATTCGGCAGCCACCATGGTGGCCAAAGAATGTTACATTTTCTCATCCATTTATCAAACCTTGTGTTGTTCCGGAAGATTGGGAAGTGAGGCTAAAGAACTTGGTGAAAAGATGTTACGACTATCATAAGAGCACTTTTCTCCTGGTATTCTCTGCCCAGCTCGCTAGATACCCACGCAAAAGACTCAGGTATGTTGACAATCGTGATCATACGACGTCTCTCTACTACCGGCCTAACGGTCGGCTATTAGTTACATTTCGAAATGAAAATCTTTTCTACGATAAAGAGATATCAGTAGATTTGATTGAACCACAAGTAAAATCTGCCGATATTTACCTTTGCGATAATTGCGATAGTCATTTTGATAATTTAGAAGTATTAAAAGCACATGAAAGGCTCTGTAATAATGAAAATGTCCCATCAAGTACATGTAGTGGGGGTTTACCTGAATTCCTGTCAGCACTGAAACTGCAACGCGTTGGTGAAAACAATGAAGATGAGTCTATGAAATTCAATGACCCTGACAATCGACCAAAAAATACTAGAAGTGCGGCAAATATAGATAGAGGTCCTCCCTACCCATTTTCCTCTTTGGCTTATAAGAAGAATGCAAAAATAAATGTTCAAAGAGACACAACCTATTCAAGAGAAAGAATAGAAAGATATTGCTGTTCCTTATCAACAGTTAGTAAAAATGTAGGTAGCAAAGGCCGAAGTCATCCATTCCCTGTCAGATATCGACGTCCTATTGATTACTGGCAGAGAAGACATATATTTCCAAATCAGCGAAACAAAAAAGTACTCGATCTCAATAGCCAGTTGTTGCTTTTAAAATGCAAACCTATCACTGTGGATGTTGAAAGGATGTCAATAGAGAAAATACAGGAGTATATAGACAATCTAAAAAAAGAGTCTGAAAGTAAACGCATTGCTGAAGAAAAAGATATAGTATTTGTTGATGGACTTGAACCGGAACAGCCAATGGATGTAGAATTTAAAAACTGTGATCCACTCAATAAAGTTGATAATGACTGTGAAGTGATTGACTTGTGTTCTGATGATGAGTCTCCTAGTGTTAATGAGAACTGTGACCCAAGGGCAGGGGTCACTTGTGTGATGAGAGGTGGGGCAGTATTACGGCGTACAGCAGCAACCCCACAGGCTCTGCCTGCCGAGCCCTGCGGAGCAGCTCGCCAACGCCCTCTCCCATCTCTCATCCTCCAACCACACCCTGTTATATTGATAACTCATACTCTGAACAACTTACAGACTATAGCCTTAGATTAACGTCATGTATTAATTTAATTGTAGATACATACTGAAATTTATTTATTATCTTCTTGATTAAAATTTTAATGTTCATTTCCTCTTTTATTTCAAGTTAAAGCTTGTGAAAATTTTAAATTCAGAGTTGTACAAAATGGCGGATAATAGTTTTATGAAATGGCGACTTTTATGCTTAGCCATTGTAAGCAAATTTGAACCTTATGCATGCTTTATGAAGGTTCAAAATAAAGTAAGTTATACTAAAGGCATATATTTTAATTTTTTTAGTTAAGTGCTGCATTTTCCTCTGTCATTCATTTCTTTTTAAAGACCAATGACTCAAAGAAAGACTTGATAAATTTAATGTAACAGCATGTAAAAATAAAAGGCTATGAAATTATTATAAGTACTTTTTGTTCAAATTCTTTTTATGAATTAAAAAGTTTACAATTTATAATGCATTTATTTCTAGTAGCCATCATTCGATTTGCGTATTTTATATAATTAAATCAATTTTAAAGATTTTGTTCATGAAATTTGACATTAATATGAACATTTTAGCTGCATATAATTAAATATCTATAATTTGTTAACAGTAGTATAAAAAGGAGCACGCCGCTAATGGCGTCTCAATATCAGAGATAATCACATTTGCTTATTTCGAATAAAAACTTAATTCTAGACTAATTTTCTGTGATTTAGATCTGAATTTAAAATATTAGTTGTAAATATTTTTAATGTAACTTGGTAATATACAAAAAAGACTACAGAACCTTATTTATGTTTAGTATATTTATTCATAATAGGTAGTGTTAAATTATGTTCTATGCTTTTATCTATGTTTTATCTTGGCCGGATTTAAAAGCATTGTTCTATATATATCTGGCTGTTATCCAAATCTAATGCTCGATTTTATAATCTAGTAAGAATATAGTGTTGCCTACATAAAAATTAAAAACAAAATATAAAATATTGGTTTATGAAAACCATTTTCGTGTTCAAAAATAGCTTACTAAACAATAATTCACTATTATTTATCCTTATGGACCATAAAGGAAATTCGGAATTTATTTTAGCTGTTAAAAATTCCATGACATAAGGTTAAAATGAAACAAGATGAGGTATTTCATTTTCTATTTTGTAACAAGAAAAATTACATAATATATGGAAAACTTTTATTTAATCATATATCTTCAGTGGTCGCTCTATGTGAGTGAGAGTTCAGCGGACGTCGACTCTCTTCGTCGGAACCATAGATAACATCTTCATCCGAGTCGTTGATCATAGAAAATGCTGGATTGTCTTTGGTTATAGCAGTTTCTGAAATGACATTTTTGTATTAATAATTTAAAATAGTGAACACTTCAATATACTTGTTAATTTAACAGTTAAAGTGCTATTGTATTTTAAGATTTTTTATACAAATTTTGTTAAAGGAACTTTTCAAATACATAAAATAAATGACATCAACGATTTGAAATATCTTTCACTTCTATATTATGTATATTTATATAAAACAATTTATTAGTTCAACTATTAAGCACTAGTTTCTGTCTGTGGTTTCGCCCGCATAAAACTTTTTTTTCGCTCTTGGACAGCGCCATCTAATGTAAAGTGTTGTAAACATTAAAGCTACAATTAATAACATTGGAACGCAACATAAAAAGTTTTATATGTTAGTCTAAGACATAGTCAATCTGTATGAAGGGTTTCGTTCAAATCCTTATATTAGAATTTAAATATATATATAAAATATATTACCGTGTATACCCCCACCCCCTGGTGAGAATAGATAGGCTAAAATATACATTTTGAAGTTGAAAAGACCGTATAAAGCCATGAAAGGTGCAGATGTGTCGTAATGCACTTTCGGTTGAGACGCCCAATGGTCCTGTAAGGCGGCTGGGCCCCATGAGTGAAGGGCTAACACCATGGTAATAAATGTCACTGTACCGACTATTATGGATAGGCAGCGAAGTCTTATGTCTAAAAGAGAATATGTTATCTGTTAAAATTAGTTTTTTATATAAAAATATATTTAAAAAAAACAATGTAATATATAATATTAGATTGCTTTGATAGAAATGTAATATATAAGTTTTTTTTATATTAAAAGCTAGTTATTTTAACTAAAACATTACACCGCCTTTTAACACCATTAATATGTAATTATCCATAATTTTGGATGGCAACCCTAAGACATGACATTTTTTCTTGAAGTTTAAACTATCCTTAAAAATATATATTAAAAAGAACAATTAGTCGAAGACATTGTTAAAGCCTTATTCTTTTTATAATAGATTAAAAATTAATTACACGCAAGTTTTGACTACTTACCAAAATATGGCATGTTTCTTAAATCACTATAAGCTTTAACAATAAGTACGAGCAAGTACAAGGTATATAATGTTACAGCCACAAAAAACATTATTTTTACCACCTGAAAAAAATAATAATTATAAACATTTTTGGCACAAGCATTTACGTTTACAGAACATTCCCAATGAAATTATTCAGCAAAAAATATTTTTGATAGAATTAAGTTCTCAAAAAAATAGTTACACAATTTTTAGCACGCTTTGATTAGCTTCTCTTGTAATTTTCACACAGCACCATCTAGTTCCATGGTAAGCTACGAGGCTTATGTTATTGATACCAGATAGCTGATACACTACATATATAACTTTAAGTACATAGGTATATATTATAAATATAAATAATCATGACGAGTACAAAGATCTGTGCTCATCAGTCATCACACAAATGAATGCCCCCAGCGGGACTCGAACCCGCGACCGTTTTCGCACCAAGTAGGGTCACTACAAACTGAGCCAAATGTGTCGTTAACTATGTTTTCTTTTTAAGAAGTTTATTTTTCCGTTGATTTTATTTGCTTAGATTCAAAACATTTTAGGTACCTAACTTAATATGAAATTCAATTAATGATAATAATACATATAATAATTTAACCATCGAGTTCCATATAGTATTATAGTCGAACAAAAGTGTTTATCATTATTTTTTGTAACATAATTATCATTATAATGAAGCTATTGGGAAATATATATTAATAGAGTTAATAACCGAAAACGCTCATTGTGCGCAAAAAGAGCAAAATGTGTTATAGCGGCGGGGTATATAAAATGGCCACAATGCGAAATTCGCGTCATGGCCATAATTTGTTTAGACGCGGTAAAGGCGGTTGTGTTTAAGAAGAAATACAATAACTTGTTCTTAACATTAGTGACGTGCAGTAAAAGCATTATTCACGATATAATAGGATCCCAATAGTCTGAAATGAAACGTTAGATTATTAAAAAAAATAAACAAAGATCCATAATCCGAGTCGGATCTGTCATCTGCCATCAAGCTTGATGTTAAAATAACGCATCGAAAAAACAATAGCTAGCGAACGCGTTATAGTATTTCTTGCTAACCACAATGTTATGTGGCCTGTTGTCCTTTGAGATTAACATATACTTAGCTAATTATTATGAAAAATATGAGTATAAAATAAAAATAATAATAATAATAGCTAAGATAACTTACAGGGTAATTGGGATTCATAAAATAATTGAAGGTCGGGTCGTAATACGCATAGTACTTTTGCCACACTGCCACTATCATAGCGGGAACCCACATTAGGCCTACTACTATCACTTTAAACAAGTAGAAGGATACAAAACCCCTTTCATTCTGAAATAAAATGGATATAATTATTATTTAATACAATTCCATACTAATATTATGAATTTGAAAGTGTGTTTGTTTGTTTTTCTTTCTTTCACGTCGAAACGGAGTTACGGATTGGCGTGATTTTTTGTGTGTAGATAGTTGGAGGGCTGGAGAGTGACTTAGGCTACTTTTTACTGCGGGAGATTATCTAATTCCGACGGGAAAACACATTATAATATAATCTAAAAAATATTTATGATCAGAATTACTTGAAACTTGGTATTAATATACCTAATAATGCTTTTCAAAAAAATTAAATAAATACCTACGTGTTTTAGCATTTTTCGAAATTCATCCTATAAGGAGGAAAAATAGGTGATGAAAGTTTGTATGAAACTACCTTTTTAGAGATTTTGTTATAGTTTTGGAGCGAGCGAAGCCGCGGGTTCTGCTAGTATATTATAATAAAATATTAAAGAGATGAATATGATATGTTATGAATTATGATGCTTGCTTGTGGATGTCATGGTCTTAGTAAAAAATACTTAATTTTTGACAATCATAATCGAGTAAGGTTCATTTGGGAAACCGAGTTTAGCGGGTTTGAATCCCGGGTATCGCACCTCTGATATTTTCATGTGCGAATCATTTCCAACATGATTACCATTTGTCTTACGGTAAAGGTAACTTGTATGTCTGAGAGAACTTTACATGTTTTGAAAGACATGTGAAACCCGCCAGTTATAATGTGGGAACAAAATGAGACAACTGTTTGGCTCCAGGGTTCGTTTAATACTATTTAACAATTGAAGGTCGTACAATATATAGATACCGGCCACCGGGGAGCATTACACACATACACACTACACAACCTGCACTTGTCCAACGTGGTGGAGTGTGGCCTGATCCCCCTCGTATTGAAAGGAAGGCTAGCGCCCAGCAGTGCGAATTTGAACGAAAAAAGGGTTGAATACAATCGAGTAAATTAGTAATTTTTAGGATTTCCGATCCGATTTCAATAGATTTCAATGCAATTGCATTGAAAATAATATCAATGTTAAATACCTTTCCTTTTAATATTTCTACTAAAGGCCGCCGTCCTACTCAATTCAATATTAATTTGCTAGTGCTCGCAATTGAACGTGGTGTAAGTGAGACAGCAAATAACTTGCTATCTCTTACTACTCGACCAATTATGCGCATTCGTCTCGGCTTGAATAGGGTTATTGGATGTTATAAAATGTGATGCTAATATTGCTGCATATATGCAAGCTTGATGGAAAACGTAATTCGCAAGTATGCGCAGAAGAGTCGAAGTAGTTAAAATACAGGTAAGTTACAGTTAAGATTCAGGTACATTTTAAATTAACATTTTTTTACAGTGCACTAATTAAGCTCTGTTAAAAGCCAAAAATAGGGCTCGCAAAAAACAATAGTCTTCATGTCACACGGTTGCGAACTAAACTGTTGAAGGATAATATATACTAAGTAGTTGGAAAGGCCCTACTATTATATTCTGTAAATAATAATAAAAATGGACACAAAACCAGTGTTTCATAAATAGGTATAATAAAATAGTTCATATTTGGTTATTATGAATAACCTACTAAATAGAGCTTTTTCATTCGTTAGTACGCTAATTTTTTTTTTATTCGATTAGAAATAAATTGACTAATGTGGGTCGATTCTGTAAACGATGTGATGAATTCAGTTAGCATTCCTTTATACATAGATTACCCTCTAATGGCTGTCAGTTTCAATCAGGGCAAAGAGTAACAGGCTTATTTCGGTATCGAAACCGAAATCTAACCTTTCTCTAAGAATAACCTTTAGCCATTATTATTTCGGTTTACTAAACCGTTCGTTTTCATTAACCGGTTAATGAACGAGTGATGAATTAATATTACAAAACCGAAAATAACCGTTTCTGTAAACCGGTTTCGAGCCCTGGTTTTCATTATAGAATCTGATGTCTTATAACGAATGGTATTTTTACTGACAAAAAAACTTACTGCCGTCGTTTACATATAGCAACACTAACTATCCATTACAAGGTGTCTAATTAAGCTGTAATTTAAGCATTAGTATATTAAAGAAAGGTCAATTGAAGTATTATTTGAACGAAAAAAGGGTTTCATTGCTATACGTAAAGTACTGTATCATTCATTGGTCTAAACACTAGAGCATATGCTAGTATGTACAGCTGCAGCTCGAGAGGTCCTGAATACGAGTCCCCGATCGGACCCTAATAATTAATGGGTTCTTCTATTACGAAATACTCAGTATCTCCCATACAAAGCCGATGTCATGCCGATTCGAGATTAGAGATCCTCACTCCTCTGAAGTCATCAATTTTGTCTCAGTTGGCTCTAAGAAATATACATATAACAAGTCGTCTCACATATCTACTCCATTGAAGGTGATAAGGCGAATAGGGCCTACAACACAGTTGGAAAATTCTACGTGACATTGGTGAAGTAATCTGTGCTCAATTACCACGCTTTGAAGCTATTATTAAGAAAATTGAATAGAGCTGGAAAAAATTTTTTACAAGCGAAGCCGTTTCAAAGTGCGTTTATTAGTTTATTCTTTTGTTCTCAGTATCGAAGTAAGAAACTATTAATATTGCATTAGTCATTCAAGAACTAAGCCACAAATATATATGAGCCCATACAAAGATATCCCTTGTAAATTGTAGAGCGTCAGATGACTTGTACGGTGTACCTACTATATTATTTGAAAGCGATTCAATAACACCTCCAGGTAAATTTCTAAGAAATTAATTAAATTTCTAAGAAATCTATTGTTAACTGTAACGCCGGCGTGTCCGCGGTCGTGGAGGGATTAAGATAGTCTAATATTGTTACTCATTCTATAATTTTTGTTTGATTGGTAGGTATTTTTAAACCGTTAAAATACCACTAATACTCTATCTCGTATATAGTATCTATCTAGATCAGTAATATGCTTCCAAGAAATAATAATTGATATTTTTTAACGAAATCAGTTCTGAACTTATGAATAAATGCTGCTACCCAAAAACGCCAAAAAATACAGAGTAGCAAACCCGCAGGCAATGCAGTAGCTAAAAATCATATTAACTTTATTGGTATGTTGACAATCATTGTTTTGTAACACGTACCTAAGTGTGACGTGGTTAAGCAATTTAGATAAACTGTATTATGTTGTTATTGTAAGGCCATTTCGTACAATGAGTTCACTTCCACTATACATGACCCGCATCATATATTTGGGTTTTTGCAAAACATAGGCTATATATATTAACTTGCTGTAAAATTGTCTGGTTTGTTTGTTGTTATACAACACACACAAACTTTTTTTACAGTAATAGTCCGACATGAAGCAATATTTATATAGATTGTAGACCATATACACTGACTATGTTATCTATACATTTATTTAATATAATTCTAACAGCTAACACTGCCTCGGTGGTGTAGTGGCTAGCATGTACAGCTGCACACCCGGAGGTCCTGGGTTCGAGTCCTGGGTCGGGCCAAGTTTAGTTATTGAGTATTTCTGTATAGTTAGCCTCAGTAACAGCCCGGAGTTGGGAAGTTGGCGGTGTTTCACCCCCGTGCCGAGGCAGAGCACGTAAAGCCATCGGTCTTGTTTAACTCTATCTTATTTCTTATTAGAGTCAAATCTGAACATTAAATATTTTTTGGAAAATCCTATTGAAGTAGTCATTATTATCGATACAGAGGCCGAATCTATAGGTTTTAGAATTTTTGTCTGTCTGTGTGTCTGGGAACGCATCACTAGAAAACCACTGGACAGATTTTGACGAAATTGGGTATGATGGTGATCTGATTGATATACTTTTTACTGCGGGAAAATATCTCATCTCAGAGAAATCTATACTAAACGTTAAAACATAATAATAATAAATGATAATTTATGGTATACAATCGTAAACACCAAATAACCGTGACCCATAGCTCACGTGGTTTCACATTAAGAGAAATCGAGAAGTGAACTTGAAACTAAAGAATATGAGCTGAAACTTAAGTATGTTTTGGATCGAGTAATAAGTAACAACTATGCTGTAAAAACATTGATATATATCAATAATGAAATTCGAACCCAGGACTTTCGAATCACTACCCGTGTGGGCTAGGTCCTGGGATCGAGTCCCCGATCAAATATCGTCATTGCTGCATAAGATATTTAATTTCTATACTTCATACCACAGGAAACCCTATTCAGGATGAAACATAGCCAATTATTTTCAGGATATAAAAGTTCTTATCGCCAGAATTATCTCCAAGAAAAATTTCAAAGGTAAGGTAAGGGCACAAAAAGACCGATAAGATTTTTTTTAATAGTTAGGTATACCATTAGAATAATCATATGGACAATAATCAAAATGACGTAGTTATGTATATAGAATTCAGTATAGACATTTTATTTATTTTACAAGATTAAAGATATAATATAATATATAGTATATAGATTATTATCTACTAATTAATAATTATTATAACAGATATACATGAAACTTACTTGTCTTAATCCATGGTAAAGCGCGAGCCAAGACAACAGAACACACGCCAAAAATGTAGTTTGAAATATCGTGTCCAATAATGGCGCGAAACATCCTCCTGTCACTAAGCGCAGGGGAAATATTGGGTCTGTGAAACAATAATTGCATTTAAAAAAACTAAAATGCCTTTTAGCAACTATGGAGCATAGAAGTAAAGAGTTCTATCTTTGCAATAAAAAACTGTCCGTCAAAACGCGTCCAATAAGGGCCTCCGTCTACAACAGCTAAATTCATATTATAGTTTTTCGTACGCTATCGAACTCTATTTCGTAAGCCAGCGCCATCTATATTTTTAGCATACAGGTGGAAACTTTTTAAACTTGTCTATGGTAATATTATCAAGAGGAAAGATTTGTTTCTTTGTACAAAATAGCTCCGAGACTACGGAACCGATTTAGATGAAATTTGGTAACAAGATAGTTTGAGACTCTTGGAAGGATATAGAATAGTTTTTATCCCGGAAATCATCCCTTAAGAGCGTAAAAATGGGGAAGAAATTTTGTATGTGGAAGCAACTTAGGGACGAACTCGAGCGAAGCGAGGATGAGTCCAGTGCCGGATTTAACCTTAGCGCCGCACCTGGGCATAGTAAGAAATACCGCCCTATTACCGAAATTTTAAATAAAATGATGACAGTTTAAATTTTTTAATTATTATTATTTTCACAAATGCAAAGAAAAGAAATGATATACATTTTTCGAAAAATGTAACTACTAAATAGTTAATCTTTTTTAATTTTTAATTTTTTTTATTATAAAAAAAAGCATTTCCGATAATGCGAAGAAATTTTTTTTCCCACCCCTCCGTAATTTTGCCGCCCCTAAAAATTTGCCGCCCTGGGCACTAGCCCCGAGTGCTCCTAGTGTAAATCCAACGCTAGGTGAGGCCAATATACTCTATGGTGAGGCGCTAGTCTCCCATAAAAGTTATTCCTGCTTACTCTTATGCTCCATGTTACTAACTATAATAACTTATGCGATACATCAAACGAGATCAAGGAAAGAAACTTTACGTGTATATAATAGTCACTGAAGAGAGAGAATATGTATTTGCCGCGCATAATTCGCACTTTTTATAAATAAATTAAAAGGAGCGAAAAATAAAAAGAAGATCCATAAAAAAATAGTAAAAAATTAGGATTTATTGTCCTGTCAATAAATATTCGAAAAAAAAATAAATCAATTGTGTTATTAATACAATTGTTTGAATTACAAGGAAAAAAATGTGTAATATTTATATACTTATGTAGATACACATATATAATACACACTCGTGTATTTTTTTACCACAAACTATTATTTTTCTAAAAAAATTAATTTGAAATAATTTTTTAATATTTTTAATTTTATGTAATTTAAAATTACATACCATTATAGAGTAAAAGTAGCGGCAATAATATAGACAGCCATTTTTGTTCGATCGCCCAATCCTGAGTGGAATACTTTCGTAAAGTATGAGCGAACCAACACTGAAACAATATCAATTCATATAACCACTATCCTTTAGTTTCACTAGCGTTTTTGTTGATATACAATATTATAGGTACATATATGTCACAGGAATATAGTAAAAGCCGCGAAATTATAATATCACTAGTGAAGTTATACTTTACGGCTTTTGTCATTCCTCTGCAAACTTCATTTCTTACAATACCACGGGAGTTATTTTATAATATCTCTAGGTATATTCAGTGATATTGTAAATCAATGAGATTTTGACATTTTCACTAAATGTTATGGGTCGTTAAATTGTAAAACGCCTCTTACAATTTTCCCGCGATATATACATACATAATAGCCTGGTCATCATGATCATAGCGTGATGTCTAAGTAGTCTAACTACATTAATAAATCATGAAATAAATTTTTAATCTATACTTACTAATATTATAAAGAGATTTATTGCTTATTTGTTTGTTTGTACCGAATAAGCTCCGAAATTGAACCGATTTAGATGAAAATTAGGGACGAACCCGAGCGAAGCGATGGTGAGTCGCTAGATAATAATAATTGGTACTTCCAGAGATAAGCTCGTCTAAACAAACAATCAATTTCTTTAGGTTTATAATTATTTTAGCCTACTTTATACATTAGAGTAAGCTATATCCCACGGGAAATTATTTAGTGTGGAATGCAAAGTAACTTACTTTTTCTCATATCTTTATACCCTTACATTAACCTTGCTTCGCATATGGCGTCTTTTCTAAGAAATTTTGTTTTTATTGTTTTTTCTGCAATAACAAATTTTACACAAGATTGTCGAATTTTCTTGCATACCTAATGAAAATTTGTTGGCATCGAACAAGGAGTGAGACAAATTGGTATTTTTCAAATACTCATCAGGGATGTGAAAGTATTTCATGAAACAAACAATCGTACAAGAAATATATTTTTTGCGATTCCTACCAAAAATAGACTAAACTAATATAGCAAAGTAATACTAGGTTTTAAAATAGATTTAGAATTTTACAAATGTATATTTAGTTATAAAATAGGTAAATTTAGTTAGTTTCGGCATTTTATAAATATGATATCACGTTTAGCTCAGTTTGTAGTAGCCCCACTTGCTGTGCCAGCGGTCACGGGTTCGAGTCCCGCTGGGGGCATTCATTTGTGTGATGAGCATGAATGTTTGTACTCCAGTCATGGGTATTTATATTTATAATATGTATGTATTTAAAATTATATATGTGTAGTGTATCAACTATCTGGTATCCATAGCACAAGCCCCGTAGCTTACCATGGAACTAGATGGTACTATGTGTTAATGTCCCAACATATTTATTTGTTTATATTTATTTGTTATACTTACAGCGACGTTAAAAGTTGTGAGAAGGAAGATGAACCGAAACCACGTCTCCATCTGAGTGAAGGCGGGGTTGTAGGTTTTGAACTGGAAACAATTTAATGTCATCAATTTTAGAGTTTGACCTATGACTGAATAAAGCAAATTCCCATGACTGAATAAAAAAAATCCTACGACTTAATAAAAAAAAAATCTTACGACTTAAAAAAATATCAAGTGTGATTCAATTTTTTTTAGTATAGCATTTCATTATTTTTTTTGCTAAAAACATTTTATAAGCAAAGAGCCTCCACTATATACTATTAATTATTATTACATCTATAAACTATAGATATTAAATAACTTCGCAGTAAAGTATATTCTACCATGAATTATCATTTAAAAAATATATTATTTACGTATTACTCTTAAAATAACAATATTTGTCATACTCACATAGAACACTATTTCCCTTATAATATATCGCTTATGAAACTCTTTGAGTCCATAAAATTGTATATCGAGAAAATAATGCGTGTACTCTAAAGAACCTAAATGTAGGACCATCACTTCTTCGCAAATTTGCTTTTTACATTTTAAATGTTGCGTTCTGAAAAAAAAATTGGTTATATGTCCAATAAAATATATCTATATTTTTTTATTTATAAAAAGGATTATTAGGAGGAATTCTTTGGGTTGATTTTAATAATTGTTATCGATTTGAGGGTTTGAAGAGGAGGAAGATATTAGATACGTCAATATGGAAAGAACATATTAAAAAATAATAAAAAATACACTTAAACACTTTAAAGCTATAATATTTCACAAACGGATCCTGAATCGAAAAAAAATTTTCACAAATCCGAAATATTTTTAAAATACCTATCCAACGACACCCACACCATGAGGTAGACGAGAAAAAAAAACATCCCCACTTTACGTGTAGAGGAGGTACCCTAAATTTTTTTTTTCTATATTTTCTTTTATCACTTTGTCGGCGTGACCAATATGCCATGCCAAATTACAGCTTTCTAGTACTAAGTCAAGTAAGAGTCTCTGAGCTAACCTGGAGTATCGCCTGTGAATATGAGTCTCTAGCACACTTTTAATACCTTTGTTTTTTTTTGTTCTAAACTCAAAATTTTCATAAATCAAATTCCTATCATATTTCATGTCAAATGAAACAATTAGTCAAATAATTTTACATAATAAATAAAAATACTTTCACCCATAGTGTTGGATAAAAGTATTTTTCTCAACTCACTTTCGCTCTGCTACATTTCACAATTACCACTCAAACTCATTCGTGTCTTCCTCACAATACGTGACACTGATAGATTGTATTGCGTCTAACTCAATTTCGAGCCATTACGACAAAAAAAACAAAAAAAAATGATTTTGTAATAAGTATTAAAATGTTTTATTTTGTTAAATCTTACCTATTAGTGGCTTCTGACTCAGGTACAAGATTCGTCGTACTATGATCACTTAAAACGCCATCTATTGATATACTTATTTGGAAGCTTTTATCGAATATCTCCTCTGAAATAAAATTTCAATACATAAATAATCCGTTTAAATCCCCTTAATTTGAAGAATATTAACATAATAATTTGTTAATATACGTGAACCGTGATATAAGTATAACTGTCAGCTTGAAAAAAAGGACACACACAGACGAACATAGAACTTTCTACTTTTTAGAAGTCGGCTAAAATTTGCAAGTTCGATTTTCACTTTAAGTAGGTACATGCTCTACAACTGCTATACTATAATGTTATCCTGACCTGATGTCAGCCATGGCGGCCTATATCACTGAAAGTAGCTATAAGGCCAATTCTTTTAAACACATCTATCTGTCCATAGTTAAAAAATGAAGAAGATACGAAGAAGAAAATATTTTCCTTAATCATATTCTCCAATTTAATATTTTATAGCGTGTAGCACTCACCATCGTTATTTTCAGTAAGAATTTCGGCTAACAGCCACAGTTGTTGGACGCGAGTGCCGAGCGCGGGACTGTGCAAATGGAAGGGCCCGCGGTATATAACACTCTTATTCGGCAACAACGCGCTTGCCGATATTGAAGTTGTGGACGTTGGGGACGGACCTGGGTTTAATAAAACCTATTTACTTATAAATAGTTCTCTATATAACACGTATAATATAGAAAACTAATTAAAATATAAGTAAATATCCAATTATGTAGTTTTATAAATGTGAAAGTTAGCTAAGATTTTTGGATATTTGGTCGTAGTGTGGTTTATATCCTACTAGAAATGGATAGGTTTTTTAGTAAATATGTAGATGAAATATGTTTTGTTATTGTAGTTTATGATATACCTACATATATAGCAAAAAAGAAAATGTAAGAACATACATTTGTATAGTATTCTGTCATCGGACATCAGTTGTAGGTACTTAATATGGTGGTGAGAATACGAGGTTTGAAATTTTAAGAATTGCATTTTAGTACTATTTTACTGAAATATTTTTTTTAAAAAGGTTTTTGAAATGATATTAACTTACCTATTTAGTGATACGATCATACGTGTTAGCTTTAACTAAAATTTAGGCTATTATGTCTACGTATTAGTTTTTGGATTTATTTCAAATATTAAATCTAATAAAAAAGAACAGAGTATCTTATTGGTAATACCTGCTAATCCTATGAAGACACCCAGCCCGAAGCAAGCAAAAAATGCTATAAAAACCATCACGAATTCTCCTTTGTGCATTGAGTAAATCCTCATTTGGACCGACCTATAATAAAATAATATTATAAAATCTGTTCTATATTGTAATAATTAAAAAAAACACAAAATATAAAAAGCAATACCTCTCACAACGGTCGTGGTGATATGCAGGAGCAATATATTTGTTAAACTCGCTAAATAAATCACTAAACTGTGATAGTGTGTTACGAATTTTATAGTTCCACCCGCCTGAAGGCAAATGGTAAGAATAACCTACGTTAGCTGTATCCATAATTGCCATTAGTTTGTACTATATATTTAAATATAATCTATAAAGCTTCAAACGCACTGTACATCTGTGTATAAAACGTTATTACGCCAAAACTTTTCCCATACTTGTTTACAAGCATTATTGATTTTCGCGGGTCTTGCCATTGCTACAAAGAACGCCATATTGGAATTGAATAGTGACGTGGCCTCGGTACATTTTAATATATTTATTTTGTATATGTTTAAGTTTTAATTATTATTTTCATATTAAATTGTGTAATATTTTGATTATTATTATCACGTTTATTTTTCAGTATATAGATAGGATGCTATTTAGTTTATACTCTATGATTTTATTGATCGTGTATGTTTTTTCTTGCCGCAAAAATATCTATACAAATAATAAAATTCTGAGTTGAATCTGTACATTTTTTAAAACTCTTATTGAAATAATAGAGGCCGAATCTAGTTTTTAGAATTTTTGTGTCTGTCTGGAAACGCATCACGAGCAAACCACTCGATAGATTTTGATGAAATTTGTTATGATAGTAGCTGCGTAGCTTGTTATCCGGGTCAACATATAGGATACTTTTTACTGCGGGAAAATATCTCATCTCTGAGAAATCTATACTAAACGATAAAACGTAATTAGAGATGAACCCGAGCAAAGCGGGGGTGAGTCGTTAGTCAATAAACAAAATTTCTTTACAAACTTTTTTCGCACCACAAAGTTATCAATCAATAAAGCGATACTCGTGTATTTTTTATCTTTAATATTTAGCTGGACTTAAATATTTTCTAGGTAAATAAATAGACTAAATAACGAAAAAAATATTTATTCAGACATTTTTAGTAAAACGATGCGCAAACAAATCAATTATACGAAATTATACATACTAAAATAGGAACTACGAAAATAATATGGCTATAGTTAGAGGTAACAAACCAAACAACAAATTAAATATTATAATACTATTTGTACATAATGTGGTGGTATTGGTAACCTTAATTATGTCAACCAAAGTAATATATAAATGCTGAAGTTAACATTTAGACTAAAGAATAATAAAGACATAGTTTCATAGAACTAACCATGAAGCCAAACAATGTTTTAAAATAATATATGTTTTAAAACAAAATAAAAATATGAATAGAATATTCATTACTGTGAAGTAAATGTTAATAAATAAAATTAAATAACATATTTTATGAATCAATAATAAAGAAAAAATGAAATAAGCTATATTATTTAAAGTGGAAGAGAATATTGTATTATATTTCTTATTTACATATGGTATAGTAGCATAAACAGCAAACCACGCTACTGTTTTGGACTTCATTTGTTTTGGCGGGCTCCATTTATAAAATTCTTTAGTCTGATGCTTAACAACATTTTTTAAATTCAACTCGAAATTGTGCTTTAATGAAGACAACCAAATATTAAAATTTTGTAACTGAACTTGCTATTGAAGTAAAACTATATCGTGTGCTTAAATGAGATAATTAATATATCATAAAAATGCAAATAAAATCAGTTACAATAAACATAGACTATAATAAATAAATACTGAAAAGATAACAAGAAAGTACTGATATGTAATTTACTGTAAATAAAATGCTACCAGATAAATATATTGTACCTTTGTTGAAATATGAATTTTATATAATAATTTCATAAAAATAAAAAAAAATGTAACTATTAAAATGAAAATTATGAATATTTGACACAGTAAGCAATTTACATTCCTGGCAATATATTGTTACAAGCATTTTTTTTATTTTAATACGAGGACCTTGTTAAAAATATAGCTACAAGATATAAATATATATATATATATATATATATATATATATATATATATTATGTTTTCACCCCCAAGACTTCCATGAGAGTTAAAAAAATATTTTTAGTATGTGTGTTTTTTAACATCATACATCAAAAAATCAAATATCTAAACGAAGAGAGCACCTATTTAAAAAAAATATTTCTTACAAAAACAAAGATTTCAATAGCGACCAAAATTTGTTTGTAATCCTTATCAATAAGTAAATTATGCTTAATTCAAATGGTGTATCAAATGAAATTGAGATTAAAGGCTTATACACACCATGTTTTTTAAACGCGCTGATAAAACATAAAAAGAGTCCTGTGTATGCTACGTTTTATAAACGTACTGACAATATACGTTATATTCTCCGCCCATAGATTTACAGATAGAAATGGAGGATATGCGTGTGATTTATAAGTGAAATATATTTTTTTTATTATTTTTGTTGCTTCTGAATTAAGCCTATATTATTTTTTATGTAATTTCTTTTTGATTAAGTATATAATTACTATTGAAAAGAGCAAATATAAGTGGAAAATTCAAAGTAGTTGAAATGCAACGCCATTGGTCAGATCGAATGTGACGTCAGTGTATAATAATAGAGTGCTGTTATTTGGTGTTTGCGATTGTTACTGACAATCTAGACTTGTTCATTTGTTGATTGCAATGTTGTCATACTATGACGTCACGCCGAGCGCGCCTAGGTGTGTTTTAAAGTATCTGTATGATATTTTTATATTTTTTTATACTAAATTTTACTTTTTTGCTACTGGATTTTATTTTTCCAATTATATAAAGCAAGCTAATATATATAATATAAATGTAAGCTATCGAATAGAATCAAAAACAAAAAAAAACACGCATATTTTCCCTATTGCAGTTTTGGGCGTCTGTATCGAGACGAACGCGCATCGCGCAGTGAATTAGTGGTCGTGTGTATAGGCCATAAGATCGTCGTCTGAATTTTACCTTATTTAATTAATATTACTAAGTACATACTTCGAAATTGAACACAAACACTTAGCTTTATTATACGTGGTATTATATTGTTTAATACATTTTATGTCTTATACAACACTAGCGACCCACCCTCGCTTCGCTCGGGTTCATCCTAAACTTGATTCCCCATACAAACTTTCATCCCCATTTTCGCCCCCTTAAGGGTTGATTTCCTGGATAAAAACTAAATTGGTTCAGTAGTTTCGGTACCAACAAACAAACAAAAAATCAAATATTTCCGCTTTATAATATTAGTAATTATAAAAGTATAGATATATTTCGAAATTTCAGGTGACTATCTACCAATTTTTTATCACTTTATAAAGCGTCAATGAATATTAGAAAAATAGTTTATATATATATATATATATATATATATATATATATATATATATATATATATATATATATAAATTATTGTGAAATTAATTTCATTCACAAATAAGTATTTCGATTATTATTATTTTTTATAAAAAAGGTCTTATTTATTAATAAGATCTCACTCTTTACTTATATTTAAATGATTACATATTCATTATTTATTTAATATATTTTTAACGACTAGATATAGTTGCATTAGGTGATAAACTTATTGTTGTGTTTTCAATGGCGGGTTCCTGTGAAGTTGTGGTCGTATGTGTATTTTTATCTGTAAAAATAATATGATACATTTTATGATTATTATCATTTTTTAGTGTTTTTGTCAATACGCCGTAAATCCTTTAGAATTTATTAAAATTAATCGTTACGATGTCTCTTAGTTGACGCCAGATTTCCTATCGTCCCTATTGCCCTTAACATAAAGCGCTTTATTATATTAATTATATCGAGCCATAGGGATCATTGAAGTATAACATAAGATGAATTTTAGTAATTATTAACCCCTCCCAGCCCTTTGTCAACAAAATATGTATATAAATCTGTGTCACATACACTATGTTCACAGCTAGAAACAGAAACATTTTGTAATGCGCGATGGCAAAACCAAACATTCTCGGTTATTTCCAGAGAAAATCAATTGGTTGTTAATAAATTTGTAGCCATATATAATTTCATACTTTAAAAAAAAAATTTCACTGCTGCAGATATTTATTTTTTTCTGAGTGGTCGAGGTGCCCCCCACTAGTACCTGCAGTGTTATCCATTACTTACCGGACACCCTGTGTAAGCCCATAAACTTAATGGTTTTTTGTTTCTTCGGAATGTGGAAATCGGTAGATTATTGAATTACACAATTTTCAGCACGTTATGTTTTCAATTATTTATTGAATATTTCGATCGGCTGCCCTAGATGCGAGACCTTATACAGATGACTTAGGATATATGGCGGAGGTAATCAACAGAGTGCAAGGTATCCCCCCTTATGTTAGTCTGCCGCGCTTGAGTAAATCCTAAAATTCTGTCTTCGGCTCCCCTACTATTAGAAAGTCCAAAACAATTAATAAAACACACGTAACATTAAAACACATACCAGTAGTAAAATATTGCTTAAACCACTCATTGATCCCCACAGAATGTTCCTTTATCCAGTCGATCCTCAACACTGCGGTGTCAACAATCTTTTGCAATGTCTGCGACATCGGCATTAACTTCTGTTTGTGTTTGATTGCGAATTGTTTTAACTGTGAAACAAACTAGATATTATTTTATTTGATTTTCACAGACACACACGCACACGCTCACGCACGCTCACGCTCACGCACGCTCACACGCACACACACATATATACACCATTATATATCTCCTAACATTATAATCTACTAACTTTAGTAACTGTCAAGTATTAGTCTTTATACTGTAAATCTACAGGAAGGTAACGATGTTCGTAATACAGGTTTTCATAGTACGAGCTCTTAAGGACACTTTCTGGATATTTTATACGATTTAAGCTAAACAGTTATGTAAAGCGTATATTTTTGTAACCTAATCTTTTGCGATGAATAAACTATTGATAGATTGATTGATGTTAAATAATTAAAATTAATAATTATTGAGAAACTACGAATTTAACATCAAATTTCTGATTATAAATATGTATTAATTCCTTTATTATATGCATCTGGGCAGCTAAGCCTGGCTCTGCGTAGGCGCTCGTTCAGTAGGTTATCTATTGCCGACAATGCAAGTACCACTAACTTTTACGAGGTGGCGCTGTATGACATTGTCAGCATGAAAGGAGATAGAAAAACGGTCGAAAAATCAATTCATATGTTTTGTTTTTGTGAAACTAAATACGTTTTTTCAGAAGAGATGCCTATTTAGATAAACTTAAAATGTAAAGCTTTATCTAAATTTGTTGAAGCCGTTTCCGAGATACACGAAAATGGGTAAATTGTAAGGGTACGTACGCAGATGCATTTTTATGGTTCTTTAAAGTAATCTATTTTCATTCGTATCGATACAAATGAAGGTCAAGCACGCATTGACAAAGCGTTAAAAATACATTGTGTGCACATAACCTTATAACAGCTTATTCAAAAAATCTACTACCTTTAAACAAGCAATAGTAGTTTATTTATTTATGTACATGGGCAATCTCGGAAACGGCTCTAACGATTTCGCTGAAATTTGGTGTGTGGAAGTTTTCGGGGGCGAAAATCGATCTAGATTAGTCTCATGTCTGGGAAAACGTGTTTTCGAGTTTTCATGCGGTTTTTTTTTCGCATTATTCCACGCAAAATATGGTCGCTGATTTCACACCCTCGGGCATAAGCATCGTGGTCAAGCGGCCAAGGCGCAAGATTGACGATCACAGGTGTCCGGGTTCTAATTCCGGTGGGATACAAAGTTTTTACTTTTGTTTTTTTTTATTTATTCAAGTTTTTATTTATTTTTTATTTTTGGGCTAAATTAAAAAGAAAATTGTACTTTTGGGCAAAAATTCCGAGCGAAGCTCGGTCGCCCAGGTACTATGTATAAAAATAAACAAACTAACCTTATCTAACTCATTGCCATCTTTAATAAAACCAAAGGCCCCATTCAATACGGACTGGAACATGAAGGAGTCCATTTCATTGAACTTATTGTATACACGATCAAAGTTGGCTATCAGAAAGTCTTGCGCCACCCTCGTTCCTATCGGCGGGTCGACGTTCCACACCGCACTCGCGTATTGACTCGGCAGTTCGTTCAGACTCTTCTCTAATAACCTGCAAAATTTATTTATTTACCGACATTTCAAAAAGGAGGTACTAGATTCCCTAATGTGCAACCTCATTCATGGTTGGATGGTAATGACCGATCTTTCGTAAACAACTTAATAATCTCCACATACAATAAAATTCTGAGTCGAATACGTACTTAAATATTTTTTGGAAAATCTTATTGAAATAGTCATTATTATCAATACAGAGGTCGAATCTATAGCTTTTAGAGTTTTTGTGTCTGTCTGTCTGGGAATGCATCACGAGAAAACCACTGGACAGATTTTTATGAAATTTGGTATAATGATCCGGGTTAAGATATAGGACACTTTTTACTGCGGGAAAATATCTCATCTCTCAGAATTCTATACTAAACGTTAAAACGTAATAAGGTTGAGTCGCTAGTTTTATTATAAAATACTGTTCATTCGGAAAATGGATGTATTAAATAATAACATAAAATTATATAAAGACGACCTCAATTCCTGTCTTAGACCAGGCGACCAATCCTTGACATTAGCCGTGTGATATGTGACTGTCCCATAGACAAAACATCATTCTTTACAACAAATCATTCTCCTATAAATTTTGCTTACTAATAATAATATATACGGGAATATGCGTGTTCTTTTTAATTTTTTTATACAATAGCTAACATCGTTATATAATTGTTAAAAAAATATCCAGCTCCAAAAAACTACAATTTAGATTTTTTTAAATATCCTACCGATATGGATACTTTAAACGTCCGCCATTATTATACATAGAAAAATTACGACTTTAGTTTGTACAAGTTACTTTTCTTTTTTCTTAGTTATTTAGTTTGTACAAGTTATTGTTAGTTGATAATACTTTGACGTCATATTCGTTCTGACCAATGGTGTGCGTTTCAACTACTTTGAATTTCCACCTAATATATGCACTTTTTTATAATATTTTTTTTAATCAAAAACAAAATCACATTAAAAAATATTGATATAGGCTTAATTCAAAAGCAATAAAGATTATAAAAAAAATATTTCACTTTTATAACCACACGCATATTCCCTATTGCTACAAAACACGTAATCACCCTAATATTATTACAAATGAAAAACTTTGTAAGTTAGTACGTTTGTCACTTCTTTACGCTGTAAAGTCTCAACGGATTGTGTTAAATTTCGAAAGAAGATAACTTATATCCTGGATTAACACATAGGCTAATTTTATCCAATTTCTTAAAATAAAAATAAGCGAGACGAACCGTCTGCAAAAGTAGTATAAAATAAACTAACTTACATACATAATACAACTTAAAATATATACATACATAACTGTAGGCACCCGCACATATACAGTATACACACACGTCCTTTTTATACTTTTCAATTTTTGATTAAGACCTTTTAATAAATTACGTTTTTGACAGATTTTAATAAAAAGTAGAAAATGGTGACATTAAAAGCCGAAAAATTATATGGACGAACAATTGTATGCGCAATTTATATTTCTGTTTTAAATCAAATAGATTTAAATAATACTTTATTGCTGCAACGGCCATACAACTTAACATATATACATATATATAACTTAACATATATTTATGTTTCACTTACAAAGTAATCAACGCTTCATCTTTGACACTCGGAAGCAAACTTATAATTATGCTCTTCACATTAGGATCAGTAGAGTTGTTGAACAAACTTAAAAAGAACTCAAACTCCTTTCGGCTGCCATATTTGATCGCCATGTTGTATACCAATGAGCGTAGATATGTTGGTATTCTGTAAACAAAAACAATAAATATATCCAAAATCCAAATATATCAATATTCAATACTAATATTATAAATGCGAAAGTAACTCTGTCTATCTGTCTGTTAACTTAATTGGCTGAACCGATTTAGATAAAAGTTGGTATGGAGATAGTTTGAAACCCTGGAAAGGACATAGGATAGTTGTTACCCCAGAAATCATTTCTTAAGGGGGTGAAGGGGGGAGGGGGGAGTTTGTATGGGGAATTAATCATGTCTCATACAAAGTTAGGGATATATTTTTTTTATTTTATAAAGTATTTATATATATAAAAATATTAATACAGGCTTAATTAAAAAGCAATAAAATTTATAAAAAAAAATCATCTTTATTTAAATCACACGCATATTCCCTATTGCGTATAAAAAATCTGCCATGTTTAAAGTTAGTGTACAAACATTTTTAGTCATTCTAGAAAAATCCCTTAAATACTTACGTATTACCATCTAAGTCTGATTTTTCTATCCATTTTTCAAACTCATCGCGAGCCCACTTCAAACATCTAGGCGATTCGACCAAACACTCCCACATAACCAAATTCTCTATTATGAACGCTTCGTTGTCGTCCTTCGGTGGTGTTAAACCGTAGTTTAGCTTTTGCAATTGTTTCTTTAATATTATTCTCATGTAATCCTAAAAACAATTTTAATTAAATTTTAGGTTATATAAAGAAAATTATAAATATACTTAACTAGCGACGGACCCTCGCTTCGCTCGGCTTCGTCCCTAGGTCGATTCCCCATACAAACTTACATCCCCATTTTCACCCCCTTAAGGGATGGTTTCCGGGATAAAAATTATCCTATGTCCTTTCCAGGGTCTCAAAGTATCTTCTTACCAAATTTCATCGAAATCGGTTCAGTAGATCCAGAAATTAAACCCCTACAACGTCACAAACTCACAAACTTTGCCTCTTTATAATATTAGTAACATGTATGTACACTTGGTTATTACTCTACAAGTCATGTCTGCGTGGAATAATCTTAGATACATATAATAAAATTGTAACTAAACCGAATCTGTGCAATAAATGTTTTTTAGAAATTCTTATCGAAATAGACATTATTATCGATACAGAGACTGAATTTTATAGTTTTCAGATTTTTTGTCTATCTGTCTGTTACCGCATCACGGAAAAATCCACTGGAAGGATTTTGATGAAATTTGGTATCATGATAACTGGGTATCCGGGACAACATATAGGATACTTTTTACTGCGGGAAAATATCTCATCTCTGAGAAATCTATACTAAACGTGAAAACGTAACGGGACGAACCCGAGCGGAGCGAGGGTGAGTCTATTAATAATAAATATATTGGGACATTAACACAGCGCCATCTAATTCCATGGTAAGCTACGAGGCTTGTGTTATGGATACCAGATAGTTGATACACTACATACATATAACTTTAAATACATTTTCTTCTATAATTCAGAAAACCCAATAACTGTAGCTGGCTCGACGCAAGACTCGAACCCAACACCTCCGGATCTACAGCTCTACAGCCGTACATGCTAGCCACAAGGCAATGTACAACGTTTAACATAAAATTTTGAGTAGACGCACATAAAGCCAGACATATATGAACGAAGGTATAAGGACATGTTTTTTTAGCAGTATAGAACTCTAAAAACAAATTCACCTCAAAATATATATATCCAGATGTAGATTTTAGATTCTGATGTAAAAACGCCATGTTATTTAGAAGAAGATCCCAAACCATCTTCGAGTTTTCACCATTTATAACACAAGTGGTCAATCCTAAAGCGTAGCTATAGTTGAGTTGTCCGGACTTTGCCAAATTGAAGGCATCGTCGATCAATTGGGCTTTTATTACAGGACTATTTATGGTGTTTGATTTTAAAGCTTTACTAAGTAACTCCCAGTTCCTTTGATCGTAGTTCACTCTGTAGTAGCCTTAAATTAAAAAATATATATTCTTTGAAAATTTCTGAGAAAGTAAGAGTTTTAAATATTGCTGTTATGAGAAATGTTTGACGTAACCAGACTAAAAAAGTATACAGACCCCCCTAAAAAAATTCAATGTCAAAAATAGTACCGTTTTTTTGCTGTTTTTTAGTTTTTTCTTCTATTTTAAAAACAAATCTTTATTTCTAAATAAAAACATTTTTCGGCTTGATTAAAGTAAAAATGTGTATTTAATACCAATAGAATTGACATTTAAGGGACAATAGTTCTGTATTAAAAACTATTATGGTAAATTGGTCATTTGAACAAATAAGAGAAAATCTAATGATTTAATAAAAAAATCTAAAAGAACTCACCAATCGCATCAACATTTACATACAAAGCGTTTGTATTATTCAACGGTATGTTAGTTGTGAGGCTCCTCTTGTTCAACCATAGCTTAGGAGCTGTACTTCTATTTTGTATGGGAACATCCAATGTGGCATAACTTATTGGTATACGCCATATTTGATCCTTTTTGATTTTGTTTGTATTTTTTGTACTTTGGAATATCTTCTATAATGAAAATGTCAAATGTTACTATACCTTGCAATTATTCGTACAAATAAGGAAGTTTTATTCTAATACAAGATTAAAAAATCACATCCGACACATTAAAAATAATTAAATACGTTTCTATAAATTAGTCTAAGAAATAACCCAAAATATAAAGCTGATCTGAAGATGATGATGAAACCTGATCCCCATTATAGTATAGGGTGGCCGTGTCCAGCAGTGGGATGTAAAAAGGGCTGAATACAATACATATAAAAATAAATCCCTTACTTGTGTGAATGTAATGAAGCCGGTAGAATAATTCCTGTAAACATTCACCACCGGGTACCCGGGCTGTCTGGTCCAGGAGTTCATGAAGTCTGTCACAGACGGATCTTTCAACTTGGGATCTGCTTTGGTCGCTTGCGACATCGCTTGCCATAGGTCATTCTCTTCAGCGTTTTGATATTTCCTGGAATATTTATACCAAAATATTAACTAAATTCAGTCTACTTATCTAACTCTAGAGACTTCGCTCGGTAGGCTTCGTCCCTAGGTACGTTTTAAAGGTTAGTATAGATTTCCGAGAGTAGAAAGTAATGTAAGTACTAATATAGCTATAAAAAAATTGGGGTTGGTGGTAGAAGGGTTAAAATTTAGGTTTATATATATTTTTAATGCAGAATCATGAGAAAAAAAAATTGTCCAAAAAATAAAATATTAAAATTTGGGCTGGACCACCCTTATCACATAGGGGTATGAAAAATAGTTTACGTCAAATTTCTCATACCTATTGAATACAAACACAAAATTTCATAAGAATCAGTCAAGCCGTTTCAGAGGAGTTTTGTTACAAACACTGACATGAGAATTTTATATATTAGAAGAATTAGATATAACCTATAGCATACCTAAATATATCAGTTATCTTATGCAAAAATTTTTTTCAAATCATTCACTCACCATTTATTCAAATATATTACAAGCCCTTCGTGGAACAATTGACTGGATATCGTATGATTTAGCATTCTTATCAAACTTGCGCTTTTAGAATAAGATATTTCATCGAACTTCTGCGCTATTTCGGACGCGTCTATCACTTCTCGTGACACCGGCGAGATGTTTTTCAGTGCGTCTGTACGTAGCAGGTCCATTTTGCCTTGAGTGAATTCATCCAACATATTCCACTCTGGTATTATCTGTTACAGAAAAATATATATAGAGTTGAAACGTAGTAACTGGTCATTGAAGAGTGTTACTTGATTCCTTTTTGGTATTAGAAACTATTTTTTAAAGTCAAAACACATTACTACGGGAAAATATCTCATCTCTGAGCTATACGTTAAAACGTCGCTAGTTTCATATTATACAAAAAACAAGCAATACTCACATGATTAACACCAACATACTCTATGTACGTCGCAAATCCTTCATTTAGCCACAAATCCGTCCACCATTTCATAGTGACCAAGTTACCAAACCACTGATGTGCCAGCTCGTGCGCTATATCTATAGCCACATTCTGTTTCTCACGGGGCACACCGTTCTTCTCATCGTAAACTAATGCTGTTTCTCTGAAATTAGAGAAAAGGCCTAATTAAAAGAGGTCTTATATTAATACTTTCTGAGATTTACGAGAATATTTGATATTTTAAAATAATACTATCTTTTCACGAGAGCGACTCTCGTAACCATGATTGCTGTAAAGCATTCGATACGTCGGAAACTAAAAATTCAAAATAAATCTACAAAAAAATACGAAAAGACAGTTTTATTTTAAAAGGTTTTATGTTAAAAACATATGTTAAAAACATAAAACCTTTTACAAGTAAACAATATATATTACTATAATATTTTAAGCAATAATTTCTTTACTGATGTTGTAAATGGCCTGAACGATTCAACGAATGAGAAAGACAGACAAAAAAATGTGTTTTTCTTAAAAATACTGTATATAATTTCATAATTATAAATTTAGTAAATACTAAAAAGCTGTTATTTGGACATTATAAGCAGAAACTTCAATTCACTGGTTGATAACTGTTGTTACAAGGAGTAACTTAGGCTACTTTTATTTTAGTAAAAGAATTAGGGATCAGCTCAAAAAAAATCACCCAAACAAAGCAAGGGTACATCGTTAGTATATACTAAGAGTCATAATATTTGAATGCGAATTAAATAACCATAGAGTACAAAATAATAGACAGAAGCTAATCACTAAGTTAAAATCAAAAATGTTTCTTACCTGAAAGTTATTAAGCCCCAATTTTCCATAGCACCGCTTGAGAAGTCTGGAATAGCTATAAGATCTAACTTATCCAATGCGTACGGCAAACCAAACACATCTTCATAGAGAGCCAGGAGTTTAGGAGTTATACTTAAAGCGTATTTCGCTTTAGATATCAAAGATGGTCGCGTCCAGATACGAATGGGTTTGGTCACATTGTCTTTACTCAAGTAACTGGTTTCAATACTGTTGAAGTCTGATAAAACGTAGGCCACTAAGTATGTGGACATCTTTACTGATCTATCGAAATGCGTCCATTGCCAACCTGGTTCTGATTCACTAAAACAGGGATTAATGTTAAAAAACATTATATTCTTAATTTAAAGGTAGGTATAAAGAATATTAATTTTCGAATATTTATTTCAAACCCCAAATCATGAATATATTAACATTATTATTTCTATGTTACTGTTCTTTGGAGGAGGCCTTTACCCAACCTGGGGACCTAGCTTAGAGCACATTAAAAAGATAAAAAGACATAAGTCATTTAATATCATTTAGTATTAATAGAAAGAGAAATTGAAGTATGTATATTGTATACCTATATTCCAATTAGAAACCAGTTTGGGAACAAAATATTTTGATGATTATAAATGTTAGCAGGTATATAAGGAATAGAAATTCGTAAAATGCCCCCGATGCCCAGCTACAACAGAGAAATGGGCAAACGCAAAGTGTTATAATAGTTTTTTTCAATTTCCGGTTTTCTGTGACATTCTATCGACAAATTATTTCTACAAAAGTTGTAGGTTTAGTAAAAATCTACAACTTTTATAAATAACACTTTTTACAATAATCTCAAAATTTAGTTTATAAACGTCAAATGAAAAATTTGTTTTCAAAAAATCTTATGAAATGAAAAAATTAAATTTCAAATTGTAAATAAAGATAAACAAACAGAAATAGGAAATATTATTTCATATTAATAATAAAAGCTTAAAATCATTAAAATAATACTTGTATTTTTGCTCATTAGTAGGAGTCATTAAATGCTATTGTATATAATTATAGCAAGTGATTCAGCTTATTTACAAAAAAGTGCTATTTTTCTTGGGTTTTATAAAAAACATGGAGTTCTATATAGAAGCTAATTATAGTTTAGCTTCTAGTTGAAAATTACAATTTCATTCATGCAAATCCTTCTGAACATTTTCTTCATACGTAGGAAATAAACAAAATCAATTACATGCATATCATTATCATCATCTCCCTGCCCATTTCCCAATTACTTGGGATTGGCAAAAGTTTTACGACCGGGCGCCTGCCTGACATCAACCCTCCTTTGGAATTATATTTTATATGCATATGTGATAAGAATAAAAAAAATATTTTTTTAGTAACATGTTATATAAAAAAAACTGAAGGGATTGTTTGTTTTTCTATTTGTTTGAATGTTCTAATATCTAGAATAACAGGATGTAAATATGATTTTTTTTTGCAAATAATAGTCTATTAATGCCAAAGATATAGGCTTTGAAGTTCTTACTGATGTATTTTTTGAATGTTATACAATAATAACACTTTTGCTTAATGTAATCTAATTCTAATGGCTCTATTTTAAATATTCTGTACTTAGAAGGTGGTCTAATTTAAATTTGAAACTAAAAAATCACTTGTAACATACATTTATGTCCAATTGAGAACTTCCTCCTTTTTTTCGTCAGTTAATTAATTCTTAAGGTCGGTCAATTAACTCTCACCTATTTTAATTGTTTAGAAATGAGCTAGATTTTTGTGATAAAAAGTATCTACATATATAGATATGATTTACTTACATAGGTTCTTCAGTAGCTACCTTCATATTAGACAATACAGATACATTTTGTCTATGAGCTATACTTATTTCAAACTTTGCTTTGAACATTGGTTCATCAAAACATGGAAAAGCTGCTCTGGCTGAGGTAGGTTCAAATTGTGTTACAGCAAGCTGCCTGTAATTTAAAAACATAACTATTAAAATCCTTGCTAATATGTATAATAAACTAGTGACTCATTCGTCCCTAGGTTTGTTCTAACATTTAGTATAGATTTCTCAGAAATGAGTTATTTTCTCACAGTAAAAAGTACCCTATATGTTGACCTAAATAACCAGCTACCATCATACCAAATTTCATTAAAATCTGTCCAGTGGTTTTCTCATGATGCATTACCAGACTGACAGAAAAAAATCTAAAAACTATCAATTCAGCTTCTATATCGAAAATAATGTCTATTTATTTGCATTTTCCAAAAAGTATTTAACATACAGATTTGTCTCTGTTAGAATTTTATTATATGTATAGATTTTAAATTATCTCTTACAGGAACTATAGATAATGAACTTCATTAAAGGATTAATTGTATTTAAAAATAACATTTACCTGATATCAGTGTTGTTTTCTGTATAAGAACTTTTGTAGAAACCAGTTAAGGCATTCAATATCTGTCCAGCAAAGGATATTTGAAGGGTGTAATCAACATTAGGAGTCAGAGGCGACCCAAGAGACAGGATTAGTCTATCTCCAGTACTAAACACCATAGATTTTATTTTTATATTCCTTACATTACTATGAGACACTTGTGTGTTTAAAGAGGTTGTAGTTGTTTCAACAGGAAGAAAAGTTGTATTCTCTGTTTCATTCAAATTATTATCTGTAACATTTTGTTCTGTAATATTCGCATTTTCATATATTGTACTGTTTTTTTCTCGCTTGAATCTTTTAGTATGTAAAGTTTCCACATTCTCATATATTTGTTCAGTTAATGTTACAGTATTAGTTATGTTTAGATTCTTTGAATGTAAGACAATTTCTTGAACTTTTTTAGTTGCTTTTATTGTTATGTAAACATCACCATTGAATGTAGAGTTTTCCAAATCAGCTTTTATTTTTAATCTATAAAAGCTTGGCACTACGTAAGGTGGAAGGCGTAAATCTGGTGAAGGTGAGCCTGTCTGGGCAAATGGCTCTGTATCATCCCAAAAATCAGCCGATTTTTGTGATATCTGTAAACATTCATGTTTTAAACATTTGAAATTAAGTTTTTTTCGACTCATTATTAGCACAATTTAAATCATGTTAATCAATTTTTGGGTGTATCAAGTGAGGGTCAGAATATATAAGTGGACATGCGAACATTTTCTTTTTATTCTTTCATATATATATATTCTTTTTACTTTTTTATTCCTAATATAGCATCTACCAACTTACGCTTTTATTTTCACACATCACTAAATATAAAATAAAATAAAACAACTGTCTAAGCATTTTTGCTAATTTATAGTGCCCTGAATTATTAAATATAAATTAAACGTTGGTGATGGATTGGTAATTCCACTAATTAATATTATTTACGGCACATATTGGTTAATCCCAGTGATAAGGGATAATTAAGTAAGTTTCTTTTGTTTCATAAAATTCACATTTTCGTCATTTTCAACTTTAAACAAGAACTTGGAAATTGAAATTTCAACCCCTTGCATTAACGGAACTGTCGTATGTCGAAAATATTAGCTGTCACTGTCAAATTATTTTATTTTGACATTGTATTTTTTTCTTAATAAAATGTCAAAGGCCAAACTGATAAGAGTATGATAAAACATTCAGTGTATTAAAATAATTTTAAAACAACTTACTTCCTATCTAATTAAGATACGCTGCGTAGTAGAGCCTTGAACTTACAGGCATGACGTAAAAAATAAGTAAAACGCTAAGTATAAACAATACGTATATCAAATCTGAGTTAGAAATTACCTTGAAATAAGTGATGTAAAAGACGATTAAGCCAACAAGCACAGCGATTAAAACAGCGAATATAATGAAACCGATACATATGCAGGTAGAAATAAAAATGCCGCCCTTTCTTCCATATTGAATATTTTCTTCGTTGTGGGATTCGTACGCCAAGAATTGTTGGCGACTAGTTGATAAAGACATGATGCAGTTATCTACGTCATTCTGAAATAAATATATAAAAATGTAATAATAAATGAAGACGATATAAATCATCATAATTGATTTTTTGCCTTTTTATTTTGATTTTAATGGTGACACTGACACCAAACCCATTAACTATTTACTATTCAAACAATGTGTATTAATGTTTAGATATTCATAGAATTCGTCAGTTTATATGAACAGGTTAGGTATTTTTAAAGTACTTAGTTTGATATCAAATCCGGACATTTTTATATGTTACAATCTAATCCCCAGCTGTGTGTGACAAAACTTTTGAACGTAAAAGATTATTTTTTTAATATTAATTATAGTAAGATCTTGTCTGTTTATAAATCCATACGACGACAATATTTAATAATAATAATTTACTTACTATCCAAAAATGTTTACAAGTTTCTACAAAATAATTTAGCCAAATAAACAATAAGTATCTAATAAAACTTAAATACATAATATTAATAATAATATTATTATTAATATTAGGTGTTTAAGTTTTAATTTACTGAAGCAATTTTGAACATTTTTGTTATGCTTTTTGTTCACACAAAATGTTCAGTTTTTTATTATTTAGATTCCTTTCACTTTATAGATATTAAAATAATAACTAAATTATTGACGTCATTCTAAATCCAATATTCTAAATCGAATATAGAGGACACCCAAAGATATTTATCCATAAATGGATATCAAATAAAACGATTTGCTGAGAAGAATACGAATAAAGAACTAAAAAATTAAAAATAAACTTTAAATTAAATCAAACCATTAATTTATTACACAATTTATATGAAAGATACTAACGACTCATCCTCGCTCCGCTCGGGTTGGTCCCTAATTACGTTTTAAATTTTAGTATAGATTTCTCAGAAATGAGGTATTTTTCCGCAGTAAAAAGTATCATATTGACCCAAATAATCAGTTATACAGCTATCTCACCAAATTTCATTAAATTCAGTCAAGAGGTTTTCTCGTAATGCGTTCCCAGATAGACAGACAGCTAGACCGACCGAAAATTCTAAAAACTATAGATTCGGCCTTTGTATCGATAATAATGGCTATTTCAATAACATTTTGCAAAAAATATTCGACTTAGTTAGAATTTTATTATAAATAGGTAGGTATAGAAGATAAAAGCTTGTTTTTAAAAATGTTTTTTTAATATTAAATTATTTACGACTAGATTAAGATGACAGTGACAGGCTACTTTTCATCTCTACGAGTACTAAATAATAAATATGTACTTGTATAGAAGTGAGAGTACTACTAATAGATGGGACTTAAAAAGGAATGAGGTAATATCATTTTTTCATAGTAATGGACAACGCAAAGCGAAATCGTTATGTTATTAATAAACTAAATTTTAAGAGGTTCCCGGACTCTTTTTTTTCTCATATTTTTTCTCACTTTCAAAATTTAGCTGGTTCCGGTGGACCCCTTGCAGCTACATTACCACCATATTCCCAAAATTCGACAAACAATGTGAAGATTCCGTCCCCCGTAGGCCCCCGTCGAGTCTCCCGTGAACCCCTGGGGCTCCACGTAGACCACTTTGGGAACTAAGTCAGAGTCTAAATGAATTATCGAATTTATACCAATACAAGGATAAAAATATCGGGCAGTATTCCGTTAGAAAAAGGTAATATAATAGAACGCTTGTCGAATGGCATTAATATCGTGCGTGTCGAATCCTATGCGGGTTTTAGCGATAACGTAAAAGCTTGTACAATAAACACGACATATCCGAACAGTTATACTTTCTGTTTATTTTTTTTTCTACGGCTAAAAATAGTATGTGCTCGTTTACCGTGAGGTAAAGAAGGGAAAAAGTGTAAATGGATCTGAATATGAACATTACATACATTTGATTGATTTCAAATATTTTATCATTCTATCTACGTCTAATGACTCGTTTTAGTTTCGTTTAGATACTGATTATTACCACGGTAATATTTATGGATTACATTACCGTGTTATTACCATTAGATATTAATAATTATAACTACCTACTTAATTCTAATTACACCAAAGATATTGTACAATAGTATACCTATTATTTATTAGTTAAGATTTTTATATAGATTTACATGGTATTATATTATTAATATACTACGGGAGTCTCCATTTTTTTGTACTGGGATGAAAAGAATGGCTATATAATATGATAAGAAAGCCTATCTCTATGCAAAATGGCGTTGTAGGTTGATCAATTGTCGAATAAACTAACACACTTTCTCTTTTATAAAATTAACAAGGAGTGAACTCTGTGATGAATCATTGTTTAGCAACAGTCGACTGATTCTAAATAAAGTGGTAAATAGTCTACCTATTAATATGAAAAAAAAATACATATACTATACATTACATAATTTATTTCAAATCCAAAACGAATTATTTACAGTATTAATTTTTAGAAATTTATTGAAAAGCCTAAATAAATGCTTTTAGATAAGATAAAAGTGTGTTCTGTACGCTGTTATATAATCACGTAGACTAGCGGTTCTAACAACGTAAATTAACACATGTGTAGGTCACGATGTGACCTTGGCAGTGACATTTTATCAGCATATAGTTTAAAAGTTAACGAAATAGTCTCAGTTATAGTAATATTTGTACTCTAATTTTAAAACTAAATTGTTACTACACGTGTTGGAGTCCCTAATAAAACTTCGAGATATTCCTTGTTTATATTCTTATATTCAGTACTTTTATAATCGTCAGTAACATAATTTATAATCATAAATTTTAGTATTACAAACAATTCGTGCCTAGTCACTACATGGTGGTACCGACATCTCTGTGCAAAAGCGCGGGAAAACAAATGAATATCCGCATTCCGCGCCCTTTTTATTTTTTTTAAAACACATTCCTATCGGCCAAGGTCACATAAGTAAATGCATTATACATAAATCATTACAAATTAATCAAATATATTATTTTCTATTAACACACTCAATATGTTAAAATGCAACCTAACACACGCGTGTTTTTTTTAAACTCCATGCATATTATTATTAGGTTAAATTATTATAAAAAAAGGTGTCATTTTTTTACTAAACCTTTAATAATTCATTGACGTTCATACAGTTGAGGCGTTGAATTCTGGTTTAACTTAATGCTTTTTAACCGACTGCGGGGAAGTCCAAAGAAGAGTTAGGTGTTTGACCTGTATGTAGGTACCTACTATATTATGTAGGGTCAAAATGGCCGATTTCAGGCGCCAACTTGTGTCTTTAAAATATAATATATCTCCGACTACATAATATTATGTACGTATGTTCTTATGTAAAATTAATTTCCATCTCGTTTTCTGTTTTTTATTTTTCATTTTTTGGAATTGGATTTTGATACCGACCTCTATGATTAATTCTTTTTTTCAATAGTAACTCGATTCACTAGGTAGTTTGGAGGGTAATTTAACTTTTTGATTTACTTTAAAAAGGAGGTAGCCGGTAGGTACCATGTTTTTTTAGGTTTAAATGATGAATGGTTTAATTCTTAATTCAAATGCTACTACTTTAGTCAATTTTTTAATCCTCCTTTTATTTGTTTACATACTTAACCTCGCCTATAACAAAGTTTACTCTTTGCTAAATGATCAGTAAACTAAAGTTTTGCTTATTTAATAGAATATTATATGCAATTTTTAGTCACAATATTAAATGTACAATATCTCTATAGAAAATGCATAGTAATTGTAGTTCTATATGTTCACATCATGTGATTCTTATTCAGCTTATTACGTTACTCGTGGCGTACTTACCTATTATAGATGAACTATTTTTGATTATATTAGGTTTTATTAGTCTTGGACACTTGTTATTTAAAATCAAGTCATTCAATTGTACTAAATGAAATCACTTAGGTAATATATCCAAGTCATGGTAGGTAATTGATTTAGCTAATGAGGGATGCAAGCAACCTACATATATATATCTTTTATTTTCCTTAATAAAAATAGAAATTTGAAGTAAGTTTTTTATAAATTATATGTTAAAATTCTATCACTTGTTAGGAATAAATAAAAATGTTTTTGTTGAGAAATGATTAAAGAGGTTAGTGGTTACTCTAAACTTTTTACATATATCTAATGATAACAATTGACTAACGTCACAACTCATTATCCACAATCGAACTATTTTTTTTTAATGTATTGTGATAGTTGAACTTCCTCACGTATGTACTTGTCAATTCAAGAAGAAAACTACTTAAGAAATGAATGATGATGATGATAATGTTTATTTCAATAAGATTTTCCAAAAAATATCTAATTTACAGATTCAGGTTTAGATGTGTGCTAGAAGTTTTTACATTTCTTGATACATTCAATTTTACTTATGATAAATTATTATATGTACAACTATATCAAAGCAAACAGACATGCACAAAAAACTTTAGAAATGAACAAAAAAGTGGAATGCCCGGCCTGTTTTTCCTAGTGCGTATGATCTCAAAATCTTTATGCTGCGTGTTAACAGGCTTCGAGCTAAGATGAAGGTCAAGAGTAAGCCCATTTCTAATAATAAAAAAAAATTAATGATTCAAATCGTTAAATCGATGAATCAATAATTATTTTCACATTAATTTGATACGGAAAAAATGGGCGTCGATGATAAATGATAATTTGGTAATCCCCAGAACCAAACAAAGTACAACCGAAATCCTTTCACTATGGCGTGTGATTCAGAGATTTAAAATTCCGATCTCGTTAGTTACGATATGACGCAAATGTTAACTTAGTGTTTTCTTCCAAGTTCGAATGATATACATTTTTACGTTGTAAGATGTTAAAAGAAGCATTTATGGTATATTCTGACTCTTTTTACTAGGTCCAAGTCGCGGCTTCGAATTTTATAGCGGACATGTGTTTTTATTTATTAATAGTTACTAACAATATATTTAAAATAATAGTGTAAAATATCTAAGAAAGTATTAAGTATAACAAGATGTTGTATACCGGTGTTTGTTATCAATCGGAAATT